GGTGTGGTGAATTGATGAATAGTTTGGTGAGGTGAATTGATGAATAGTTTGGCGTAGTAAATTGATAAATTGTTTGGTGTGGTGAATTGATGAATTGTTTGGTGTGGTGAATTGATGAATAGTTTGGTGAGGTGAATTGATGAATAGTTTGGCGTAGTAAATTGATAAATTGTTTGGTGTGGTGAATTGATGAATAGTTTGGTGTGGTGACTTGATGAATAGTTTGGTGTGGTGAATTGATGAATAGTTTGGTGTGGTAAATTGATGAATAGTTTGGTGTAGGTTTGGTTGGGTAAATTGAAGACTATATATCTAGTCTAAGATATGAATACATAACTAGCTCCCAACCCTCTAGGGGAGAAAGTGTTCTATAAAGTTCAAGGAATAACTCTCTTCGCATATTGTATTCTAAAGAAATAAGTAGAATTAAACATATATTTNTTACATAGTTTAATATTAAAGCTCCCTTTTACAGACTTAACCAGAAACCATCTGCCAGAGTTCTAATTCATACTGCAGGCCTCAATTATTTTTGCAACCTAAAACTTTTTCAAGACGCAATGTGGTTTTTGGATTTTAACAAAAAGCTTTTTTACACCTTAGTTTTCACAAATTCTTTCAAAGTGAAATTTTTGAACATTTCAAATGGCAATGTCAAGGATTTTAAGGATTAAATACTTTGCTATCCTTTTCTGCAAGTATTAAGAAATTTTTTAATTTTTTCAAGATTTTGAAAAATCTGACACACTGTTTTCAGAGATCAATTGTATAAACAATTGCTTAATTCTACTTTTTAGCAATTTCTTAAGAATACATTTTTAGGAATCTTTAGGAATGTTGTAGTCATCCGACCAATACAAACTTTTATTCTTAGCATTCTGAACTTTTAAGCCATTCAATTGCAACTTTTAAATTTTAAAATAACAGGTTTAATTCACATTTTTTGTCTGATTAGATATTTACAAAATTAATATAAACAAATGCCCAATAAATATGAGGGGGGGGGGGAAATTAAAAGATTAAGCATTTGTCCAAAAATTTTAGGTACCCACATTAGATATCGAGATCCTGCCTTTAAGATTAACGATCATCCACACGAAAGGATCTGACCTCTGGTGATTTTATAACATCAAACAACTTTTCGCATCCAGAGTTTAAAAGATTTACTTTTTCAATGACTAGCGCCAGACTGAGTTTGGAAAGCTTTTGACAAAGGAAAAAGATATTACAGCTAGACGACTTTTGAGTGAACTTGCACATTTTTAGTTTTTCAGAGGGTTTTCAAAAATTTATAATGGTCATGATATTTTGATAAATTTCAGCTTTGCACATTTTTGTCCAAATAACTATGTTTTGCAATAATATTTGACTTTTTCAAAAAATTTACATTTATTTGGTGCAGATTTTTGATAAAAAGCCGAAGGGCTTTACAAAATTATATAAAATGTTATAATTATATATATATATATATATTTATCACTATAAGGAAATATAAGGAAAGGGTATTTATTTAGACAGAGGACAGTTATAGAAATAGATTAAGATTAGATTTTTATTTGCAATAAGCTTTCTTATATCTGGTATTTGTTTTCGCTGACATTTTGGGAATAAATACTTAAAACAATATTTAGAAAAATTTGACAAGAGTTATTCCGTTTTTCTTTTCTTCTTATTTCGATAAAAAGAAAAATTTAATTTTAAGTTCTTGTAATATAATTTGTAAATTTTGTACTGAGAACACGGTTAAAATGCTGTGACAAATATTGTTTCATGGAATTATCGAATTTCTTATTTTAGAGACTTTCCTTCTTTCTTTAAATTATTCAGAACAATATTTTCTAATATACTTATTAGTTTGGTTTGGTTTGGTTTGGCCTGGTAACTAAACTAACTCTGTAAGATTAAATGTATTCAAGCCAAGTATGAATTCAAAGTTTGAAACTCATGAACCGAAATATCAATATTCGCATCAGGCAATATATGAATACAGTACACATCTAAATCCAAATACTTTTTCGCATTTTTAAAATGATATAATCCAGCCGAATTTTTGCTAAATTTCTACGACTTAATAATCCGCGAAGATATTTCTCAATATATATTTGGTTTGGATAAGTGCGGAGCTACCTGGGTTTGCTTGAAACTGGTCTGGGGCGGACTGTTGCACGGTCCGAGGTTGCCTGAGTCGTCCTTCCACCAACCTCCCGTTGGAGCAAACATGCCCGCTAAATCTAAGGCCAACTATTGGGCTGCGTTCATGGCCCGGCTTCGTACCAAAGAACTAAGATAGATAGATAATACTATGGTCGGATAGTTGGGTATAATAAGAAGATGGCCGAACAACCCAAAATATGTCAAGGATTCAATCAAAGCGATTACACTTTATGCTTCACATACATTCAGACAAATTCTTTATTTTTACTTTTATATATATATACTTTGCATGTCTGTTTGAGTGTTTTTTATCCAATAAACGTCAAAACTGCTGAGCTGATCGGGCCCAAATTTTGTGCGGGACCTTACATGACCCCAGGGAAGGTTTGTAGATGATCTAAATTTCAAAAATTAGCCTTTTTTTCAGTTCGTGATTTTTTGCAATTTTAGGTTTTAAGAAAGCATCTCCTAAAAGACAGAGATTTGCACTAGTTTTGCAAAGCAATTTTTTTTAATATTTTTGGACACACTCTAGATAGCAACTATTTTGTAATATAATTTGCCTATTTAATTTCTGAGTAACTTTAAATGTTTTAGCTCATCAATATCATAGGGGTTAGAGAAATATTTTGCAATCATGAGCGCAATAATTTATATTTTTTGGCAACAAAGGTAGATGGATGAGCTGGATGAACTGGATGAGCTGAAAAAGCTGGATGAGCTGGATGAGGTGGATGAGGTGAATGAGGTGGATGAGCTGGATGAGCTGGATGAGAAATATGAGGTGGATGAGCTGAATGAGCTGGATGACCTGGATGAGTTGGATGAGCTGGATGAGGTGGATAAGCTGGATGAGCTGGATGAGCTGGATGAGCTGGATGAGCTGGATGAGATGGATGAGGTGGATGAGCTGGATGAGCTGGATGAGCTGGATGAGCTGGATGAGCTGGATGAATTGGATGAGGTGAATAAGCTGATTTAGCTGGAAAAGCTGGATGAGCTGGATGAGCTGGATGAGCTGATTGAGCAGGATGAGCTGAATGACCTGTATGAGCTGGATGAGCTGGATGAGCTGGATGAACTGTATGAGTTGGATGAACTGGATGAGCTGGATGAGCTGGAGACCAAGAATAAATGTACTGGCCCCTGGTTTATGAGCCTGTAAACTCCGGGTAGAAAATTGAAAGGGATTTTACAAGTACATTCATAAATGTCGAGACATAAAACTAGAAAATATTCAAAACATTCCAGTCAAATTCTCAGATATCAAACTTGATTTAGAAATAGAAACAGTTGTACTGAAATGGAATCAGGGATACTTGCGCCCTTTTTGTTTTTAGATATTTAAATAATTTAGAGTTTATATTTTCACAATGTAGATTTCTTTGAAAAATTAAAATGTCTGAAATTTTTACTTTAACAATGGCAGCAAGGATCTGGAAACAAAAACTTAATTTAATTTCAAATGCTAATTCTAATAGTTTCATTCAAATCAAATTTTTGTCAAAGGAAAAAATTATTTAATTTTTCGACGTTCTTTTTAAATTTGTTTTAAAATCTCCATAGCACCCAATCCTACATAGATGAGTTGGTTTTAAAATTATCTATTATCTATATCTATCTATCTATCTATCTATCTATCTATCTATCTATCTATCTATCTATCTATCTATCTATCTATCTATCTATCTATCTATCTATCTACAGTTTGTTTTAATGGCTTTACATCTGCCTTTCTGTTTAGCTGCCTATCTATCTAAATTTGTACTATCTATCTATCTATCTATCTATCTATCTATCTATCTATCTATCTATCTATCTATCTATCTTTCTATCTATCTATCTATCTATTTATCTATCTATCCATATACAGGATTTCTATGAACAATAAACAGGAAACTCTATTATTCTTCATACTCTTCATATAGAATACTATGTAATCTTCATAAATATATACTTTTCCTTGATTCTCCTGATTCTCCTCCTAGATACTTTTCCCTGATTCTCCTCCTAGATACTTTTCCTTGATTCTCGTCCTAGATACTTTTCCCTTATTCTCCTCCTAGATACTTTTCCTTGATTCTCCTGATTCTCCTCCTAGAAACTTTTCCCTGATTTTCCTCCTAGATACTTTTCCTTGATTCTCCTCCTAGATACTTTTCCCTGATTCTCCTCTTAGATACTTTTCCTTGATTCTCCTGATTCTCCTCCAAGATACTTTTCCTTGATTCTCCTGATTCTCCTCCTAGATAATTTTTCCTGATTCTCCTCTTAGATACTTTTCCTTGATTCTGCTCCTAGATACTTTTCATTGATTCTGCTCCTAGATAATTTTCCTTGATTCTCTTCCAAGATACTTTTCCTTGATTCTCCTGATTCTCCTCTTAGATAATTTTCCTTGATTCTCCTGATTCTCCTCCTAGATAATTTTCCTTGATTCTCCTGATTCTCCTCCTAGATAATTTTCCTTTATTCTCCTGATTCTCCTCCTAGATATTTTTCCTTGATTTTCCTGATTCTCCTCCTAGATATTTTTCCTTGATTCTCCTGATTCTCCTCCTAGATACTTCCCTTGATTCTCCTGATTCTCCTCCTAGATACTTTTCCTTGATTCTCCTGTGGCAAATATTGAGGCCTATTGTAATTTACGTCGTACCTTGTTAACATAGTAAATGTGTTATTAGTAATTACGAAAATCCTGCATTGCGATTAATCCATTCCATGAACGTAGATATATATAACTCCGTCATACCCATATATTGTGATTGTTAAACTACGTTATATATATAACAGCGCATAACTGTAGTTACACTGTTAATGGCTCAATTCTAATCTGAACTAAGAAACACACCTAAGTTGATAGAATAACTCCGTACTGTTTACTGCGGGAGAGTTATCCGGAAACTCTGTTTCTTAAAACAGGTATGATCGTCCCTGTTAATTTGGGATCGATATATAGCTTATTGATAGCTAGGCTTGTGTCCCTGTGTGGCATTTAGAGCATTGGATCTTCCCCTTCATTTGGGATCCATATAGATAGCTTATTGTTAGCTAAGCTTGTTTCCCTGTGCGGCATTTAGAGCATTGGATCTTCCCCATCATTTGGGATCGATATAGATAGCTTATTGTTAGCTAGACTTCTGTCCCTGTGCGGCATTTAGAGCACTGTATTAGTAGCTGGATTTTGATAGCTACGCTTGTGTCCCTGTGTGGCATTTAGAGCCTAGGATTCAGTCCTTGTTTAATTTGATAGAGGACAGATTGTGCTTTTCCTTGATTCTCCTCCAAGATACTTTTCCTTGATTCTCCTCCTAGATACTTTTCCTTGATTCTCCTCCTAGATACTTTTCCTTGAATATCCTCCGAGATACTTTTCCTTGATTCTCCTCCTAGATACTTTTCCTTGATTCTCCTCCTAGATACTTTTCCTTGATTCTCCTCCTAAATACTTTTCCTCGAATCTCCACTTAGATACTTTTCCTTGAATCTCCTCCTAGATTCTTTTCCTCGAATCTCCACTTGTATACTTTTCCATATTATCCTCATACTTGCTTTTCCTTGATTCTCTCCTAGATACTTTTCCTAAATGAATACCATGGATAATTTCTATTGACGAATATTTTTTTTGTAAACTTTTATAAGTAAAAATATTCGTTGTCCCATTAAAAGAATTGCATACTTAGTACCTTCGTATAAATGTGCATTTCTGCTAGAAAAATGATAACTTTTAAAGAGTAGCAGTACAAATTTTGAATTCAACAGCTCAATTTGAGGAAGGACGGAGGGNAGTTCACCACAATACATTAAACAGCTCGGTACACTAGTTATACTATGTTACACTAGTACACCTCAATACATTATTATACAGCTCAGTACAATAGGTATACTACACTAGTACACCACAATACATTAAACAGCTCGGTACACTAGGTATACTGCACCACATTATTGTGCAGCTCAGTACACTAGGTACACTAGACTAGTACACCACAATACATTATACAGCTCAGTACACTAGGTATACTACACTAGTACACCACTATACATTATACAGCTCAGTACACTAGATATACTACACTAGTACACCACAATACATTATTATACTGCTCAGTACACTAGATATAGTACACTAGTACACCACAATACATTATTATACAGCTCAGTACACTAGGTATACTACACTAGTACACCACTATACATTATTATACTGCTCAGTACACTAGGTATACTATACACTAGTACACCACAATACATTATACAGCTCAGTACACTAGATATACTACACTAGTACACCACAATACATTATTATACAGCTCAGTACACTAGTCATACTACACTAGTACACCACAATACATTATTATACAGCTTAGTACACTAGGTTTACTACATTAGTACACCACAATACATTATTATGCAGCTCAGTACACTAGGTAAACTACACTAGTACACCACAATACGTTATTATACAGCTCAGTACACTAGGTATACTACACTAGTACACAACAATACATTATATAGCTCAGTACACTAGGTATACTACACTAGTACACCACAATACATTATTAAACAGCTCAGTACACTAGGTATACTCCACTAGTACACAGCAATACATTATTATACAGCTCAGTACATTAGTTATACTACACTAGTACACCACAATACATTATTATACAGCTCAGTACACTAGTTATACTATACTACACTAGTACACCTTAATACATTATTATAAGCTCAGTACAAAAGGTATACTACACTAGTACACCTCATTACATTATTATACAGCTCAGTACAATAGGTATACTACACTAGTACACCACAACACATTATTATACAGCTCAATACACTAGGTATACTACACTAGTACACCACAATACATTATTATACTGCTCAGTACACTAGGTATACTATACACTAGTACACCACAACACATTATTATACAGCTCAATACACTAGATATACTACACTAGTACACCACAACACATTATTATACAGCTCAATACACTAGGTATACTACACTAGTACACCACAATACATTATTATACAGCTCAGTACACTAGGTATACTACACTAGTACACCACAAAACATTATTATACAGCTCAGTACACTGGATATACTACACTAGTACACCACAATACATTATTATACAAAACAGTACACCAGGTAAACTACAAAAGTACACCACAATACATTATTATACAACAAAGTACACCAGGTATACTACACTAGTACACCACAATAAATTATTATAAAACACAGTAAACCAGGTATACTACACTAGTACACCACAATACATTATTATACAACTCAATACACCAGGTATACTACACAAGTACACCACAATACATTGTACAAAAATACCATTTATTTTTTATAAACAATATTGTTAAGCGTCTTACGCCTTTGCTAAACTATATGCTCAGTTCATTTTGTTTGATTTCTGAATCATCTTGATATTTTCTGTTCAATCTTTAATTCAGAAATTCAAAATAATGTCGAATGGAAGAAGTCGTCCATATGAGTTCAGGTAAAGTATATTAGCCATCAATATTATTTAATCGATATCACAAACTTATGACAACGTACCAAAATGTTAACTCATTTTATTTCATAGATAATTTGATAACTTTACAAAATATTTCCTTAAATTATGGTCAAAACTCAAGCGTCGTTCTTGAAAAATGATTTAATGTTTTTAAATTATTTTCCAATTAAAAATATTTATTTTCTATTTTTGTTTAAGTTTGGCCCGTGGGGAAAAGTTGCCCTATATCTCAGCAATTCCTCCACTGTTTAAACGGTAAAATATATATACAGGATTTTTCATCAAGGAGGTTTAAAATCTAGGTTTATATGCTTATTGTCTAGGTGTCAATATTATTAAAATATCTAGGTTTGTATGTTTAATGTTTTATTGTCTAGGGGTCAATATTATTAAAATATCTAGGTTTGTATGTATAATGTTTTATTGTCTAGGGGTCAATATTATTAAAATATCTAGGTTTATATGTTTATTGTCTCTGGGGTCAATATTATTAAAATATCTAGGTTTTTATGTTTAATGTTTTATTGTTTAGGGGTCAATATTATTAAAATATCTTGGTTTATATGTTTATTGTTTATGGGGTCAATATTATTTAAATATCTAGGTTTGTATGTTTAATGTTTTATTGTTTAGGGGTCAATATTATTAAAATATCTAGGTTTATATGTTTATTGTCTATGGGGTCAATATTTTTAAAATATCTAGGTCTGTATGTTTATTGACTAGGGGTCAATATGTCTGAAATATGTTTATTGTCTAGGGGTCAATATTATTAAAATATCTAGGTTTATATGTTTATTGTCTATGGGGTCAATATTTTTAAAATATCTAGGTTTGTATGTTTAACGTTTTATTGTCTAGGGGTCAATATTACTACAATATCTAGGTTAATATGTTTAATTGTCTAGGGGTCAATATTACTACAATATCTAGGTTAATATGTTTAATGTTTTATTGTCTAGGGGTCAATATTACTACAATATCTAGGTTAATATGTTTAATGTTTTATTGTCTAGGGGTCAATATTACTACAATATCTAGGTTAACATGTTTAATGTTTTATTGTCTAGGGGTCAAGTTCCGCTGTTTGTGCCGACTACCGGCCCACCTACACCTAAAAAAGAGAAAGGGAAGGATAAATATAGAATAGACCCTTAAAATTTACAAAATATACTGAAATAAAAATATATATACAATAGGACCAGACAACTCTGACAAAGGAATACGACATTTTAGCAATAGTGTATTAGATGTAGCTACACAGAGAATAGTTTTACTAGTAACTCATCAAATCACTTTTTAAGTAAAATGGGTCTGTTCCTGTTTAAACACTTCATATTTGGTGTCAAGTATATATATATAATATATATATATTTATATATATATATATATATATATATATATATATCCTGTATAAAGTGTATATACAGCCCCAAGAGCTGGAAAGGTTGACCTACTCAGCCACAAGACAAATACCACAGAAACTCAGGTGACTTTTCATCATGACCACAAAGGGTTTAACAAACTGTCCAGCTGTACAGCTATCTTTCTATCTATCTATCTATCTATCTATCTATCTATCTATCTATCTATCTATCTATCTATCTATCTATCTATCTATCTATCTATCTATCTATCTANTGTCTCAATGTTTAGTTATATATCTATCTAAATGTGTAGTTATATATCTCTCTAAATGTTTAGTTATATATCTGTATAAATGTCTAATTATATATCTGTCTAAATGTTTAGTTATATATCTATCTAAATGTGTAGTTTTATATCTGTCTAAATGTTTAGTTATATGTCTGTCTAAATGTCTGGTTATATATCTGTCTAAATATTTAGTTATATATCTGTCTAAATGTTTAGTTATATATCTGTCTACATGTTTAGTTATATATCTGTCTAAATGTCTAGTTATATATCTGTCTCAATGTTTAGTTATATATCTATCTAAATGTGTAGTTATATATCTCTCTAAATGTTTAGTTATATATCTGTATAAATGTCTAATTATATATCTGTCTAAATGTTTAGTTATATATCTGTATAAATGTCTAATTATATATCTGTCTAAATGTTTAGTTATATATCTATCTAAATGTGTAGTTTATATCTGTCTAAATGTTTAGTTATAAATCTGACTATATGTCTAGTTATATGTCTGTCTAAATGTCTAGTTATATATTTGTCTAAATGTCTAGTTATATATCTGACTTTATGTCTAGTTATATATCTGTTTAAATGTCTAGTTATATATCTGTCTAAATGTCTAGTTATATATCTGACTATATATATGTCTAGTTATATATCTGTCTAAATGTCTAGTTATCTACCTGTCTAAATATCTATTTATATATCTGTCTAAATGTTTAGTTATATATCTGTCTAAATGTCTAGTTATATATTTATCTAAATGTCTAGTTATCTATCTGTCTAGATGTCTAGTTATATATCTGACTATATGTCCAAACTTAATATTTCTTGTATCTCTGGCAGCCGCCATTTTCTTGTAAATCATTCTAATTCATTCATCCATATATTTATACATTTATACATTTATGTATTTTCCTATTCGGCATTATGTGTGAATAAGCTTATGGGGCGGGGGGAAGGGGGGTTCCTTTTACCATCTTTGCACATACATTCCAACCATTTCTTTACTAATGAGTTTTATCCTCAACGCTATAGACTAGAAGGCTTTTATTTGTCACTCCATGAACTCTGAATTCCTTTTGTCTCAAGGTTTACCAGTCCGAGTAGAGCAAGAAAAAAGAAAGATCTGGAAACTAATTTTAATCCTGAAGAATTATACCGGCTAACAGAAACCCATCAGTAAGTATAACATGTAATGTGAGTAGAACTAAGGAGAGGTTGATAGGATCTAGTAGAACTAAGGAGAGGTGGATAGGATCTAGTAGAACTAAGGAGAGGTGGATAGGATCTAGTAGAACTAAGGAGAAGTGGATAGTATCTAGTAGAACTAAGGAGAGGTGGATAGTATCTAGTAGAACTAAGGAGAGGTGGATAGTATCTAGTAGAACTAAGGAGAGGTGGATAGGATCTAGTAGAACTAAGGAGAGGTGAATAGGATCTAGTAGAACTAAGGAGTGGTGGGTAGGATCTAGAAGAACTAAGGAGAGGTGGATTGGTTCAATCTTAATGTTTTGATAAACCTAGTTCAAGCCAAGGTTATAATGCAAGGAAAGTTAATTTAAGTTGCGTATACTTTGCGTACATATTGATACCAGTTATCTCTTCGCGGAATTTGTAAACAAATTTAGTATACGAGGAGGTAAAAAGCATTGTTTCCTATGACCAGAATATTTCATTGATGTTTCATGTGAAAGATGGATCCCATGTCAGGCTGTAACATCCGTCTTGTGTTTACATTACCGCCCAGAGACAGTACACTGCAGTACAAGAGATGCGTACACCTCTGAAATAATTTTTCTTGCATTATAACCTTGGTTCCAGCTGTCAGTAAAATTGTACACAACTCTAGCTTTTTAATTTGAATCAAATCGGATATTATTTGGATTTTAAGGCCCTAACAAAAATTTTTGAAAATTGGAATAAAATTTTGTTTATTGTTCTTATTAAACTTTGCACACAGAATGTTACTGTGTACTTTTAAAATGTTTTTAAATGCTATGTTTACATGACTTTGCGCAAAAGTAAACAGTTTTAATCCGTGTAGAGACAGCATAATAATGATTCAAGTAATTTCATCATTAAATCCATTAATGAAAAAAGGTTAAATCGATTTTATCGGAACTTGATATCAAGGATTTAATGTCACTAGAAAATACGCCTCTGCCACGAATTCAAATTTTAAAACCTCTATATCTTTGAAACCGGTTGAATCTTGGGTTGCAGAAATATAGAAATAAGAAAATCAGAGTTTGTGGCAAAATCTTTTCTACAAAGAATTGTGTTTTTGTGATTTTTACATAGTGGAATTGAGTTATTGCCACAAACTCTGATTTCTTTATCCCAATATCTTTGCAACCCAATGTAGATATTTCAAACTATGAATTCTGTTAGATCAAATAATCTAAGTTTGAAATATCAAAGATTTACATCATCAGATTGCAAAGATGTAAGGATTAGAAAATTTGAGTTTGTGACAAAGAATCAATTCCTTTGAAAGAACTCGAATGAGACAAATGTAAAGTTTGATATTCTTTACAGGGGTGCTCCTAAACTGAACTCTAATGTAACAAATGTAAAGTTTGATATTCTATACAGGGGTGCTCCTAAACTGAACTCTAATGTAACAAATGTAAAGTTTGATATTCTATACAGGGGTGCTCCTAAACTGCTGGAAGGAAAGGGAAGAACTAAGAATTCTACCTTCAAACTTCAACCTCATGGTTCAACACCTAGTGACAGGTCACCTTTTTTTTGAATTTTTTATATTATTTGAAAAAATAGTTTTTTAATAGGACTGTTCACTTAATAGATTACAATACCTATCTTTCTGTGATAGCCAGTATACATCCAATAGTTCTCAGGACTCTTTCCTGTTGAAAAAGTACAAAAAAATCAAAGAAATTGAGTCTTTGCCACAAATTTAATGAAATGGATTTCAAGCTACTGAATAGTCTCTTTAAATTTATTTTGTTTTGTTTAGGATTGGATCAAACTTCTCTCTGCAAGCTAAACACATTCTACTCAGGTGAAAGCACAGTTAGGGATTTTATTTGAACCTGAAGGACAAAGTTCGAGTCTAGACTAGGGTTTTCAGAGAACGAAAACTTTCGTGAAAAAATTTGAAAGTTTTATTTCGTATTTCGCAAATCGCGAAAAATTGCAAAAATTTTCTTGAAATTTCGCATTAATCTGTTTAACGAAAAAATTGCAAAATTTTAAAAAATCTGATGTGTAATTAAGTAAAATACGCCAGAAATATGTTGAAAAATACTTATTTTCACTTGTGACAAATATGTATTAACATGATAATTATTGATTGCATATTGAAAAAAGGCTACAGCAACATTAACTGTAATCATCCTCTTTGTTTGGGACACTCTGTATTTCCTTAAATGTAATCATCTAATCCCAAGTTGAATCTGAAGTTTGGTTTAATTTAGAGTCTTTATATGACAGTGGTTGTATAAATCTATAAATAAACCGCAAAATAGTTAATTACTCAAGATTTACTTTAGTAAACCTGAAGCCAAGTGAGAACTTATAGATATACAGTATACAGTATACACCCCATCCGTAAACCTTATTATACTAAAACATACATTCATATTGTACTTTTGGTTATATTCTATAAATAAATTACTTAATAAGGAAGACACTTCAGTTTTGAATATCAACTTATAAAGTGAACTTTGTGTTTCAACTTCTTAAATGTCTGATTAGTTTTTAGATAAAAGCATTTATGCTAAAAGTTTTAAAAGTGTCAAAAATTCTTAAGCACCTATAATTTACTGGAAAAAATATTAAGTTTAAATGATGCAATTACACATGGCAAAAATCTAGTCCCCCACCAACTACCCCCTCCCACCTAGACCCTATAAAGGTATCAATATTTGATTAATTATTTTACAAGGTTGTTTATATAGGAAAGTTGGAGCGAAGAAAAGACCTTCTACTTCAAAACGAAGATATGAAGAAAAGGTTGGATTTCAAGATTTTTTTATTTATTTTTCAAATTTTTCTCCCAATAATAAGGATTAAACTACAAAATATTTCAACCTTTAGATTACTAGGCTAGGCCTTTCATTCCCGATCCATATGCGCGCTTTCCTTTTTCGCTCATTTAAAAGTAATAACAATACCAGGTTTCACAGATTTGTCTGTTTCATTGGTGGATATTTAGATATTTTGAACTATGAGGCCCCATTTATAAATTTCGAGGGTCCATAAACTTAAATAGATTGATGTAAGGCTGTGAGGCCCAGTAATACAGTCGATTCAGTTTTAAAGTTTAGACAAACAGAAAAACAAACACCAAGACAAGATATACAATGAGAGAATGTGTTTTTCTTCAAATCTCATAAAGAAATGCAAAGCAAGTACAAGCTTAAACAGCTCTTTGATCTGTTGTTTAAATGTGCAAAGTCTGATTCTTGTTTTAATTCATGAACAGTCCTTGCAGTGATTTAAATTGATATAATGGAATATATACCAACTACTATTTATCTTATATTTCATATTGAGATAATCTGTGATACAGTAATATTTACATAAGCTTGTCATAAAAAGACTAAAAATCTATTTGTAAATTAAAACTAAACAGATCAAACTAAAACACACTCTAATGTGGAAAATCTGGTTTAAAGGGACCATTCTTGTAATTTGATACTTTGATCCTCTATCTAAAGAGTGAAACGTCTGATTCACAACGGCACCCTTGAACCGTAAACAAATCAAACATTTTGAAGTAACTTTGTTTTTCTTGCATGGAAAGTGTTCAATTCTGTTGATATTTCCAATGTTTCTAAAGAAATAAGTGTACAAGTCATTTTTGTAGAAAGACCACAAATTAAAACAATCAAATTTTAAAAACAAGTGTTTGCATTTCAAATGTTTTGATGTTGTTATAAAGCAAATAGCTTTACCAGTTTCTTCTGAATTAACTTAGTAAAATGGGTTTGTGTAATTTAAAATAATAACTTAAGTCAAAAGTCGTCTTTCTTTTCCACAGTTTAATGTGTCCCCCTGTACTAGAGCGTAGAGTGCTGCAGGCTTCATGGTATACAGGAGGAGAAGAGAAAGGAGGAGGAGGAGAGAATATTACAGGTAGAATTAGACACTAGATAGTTTATAATAGACACTAGACAATATATACTTGACACAAGACACTAGACCCAAGACACTAGACACTAGACACTAGACACTAGACACTAGACACTAAAAAACTATTTGCATACTTGATGAGCCAGTCTATAATGTTATTTTATCTAACAGAAAACACTAGTTAACGGCAGCCTTACGTATATGAACATTCATTAATTTTCGAGATTTCACTGTTCTTTAAAGTTTTTGATTTGTTTTTAACAAATATCAGTTTTGCTTGTGATCAAATATTAATAAACATCAGGTATTATGGGAAAAATAAAAACTACATTTGATGTTTTAGATAAATCTGATAAAAAACAAGTTTGCAACGCAGAAGATAGCAAAATCGATCAAGTATGTATATTGTTTATGAAACATAACATCTATCATATAAATAAATCAATTAACCTATTCATTTCTTATCTATTAACCTTTTAAGTTCATACAATTATAACTTTAATTTCAACTCAATAAACCTTTTAATTCATAATACGCTTTAAATTTTTTATCTTTTAACCCTTTTATTTCAAATCTATTAACCCTTCAACTTTTAATCTATTAACCCTTTAATTTCTAATCAATAAGCCCGTACATTTCTAATCAAAGCCATCAATTTCTTATCAATTAACTTTTCAGTTTCTAATCAATCAGCCCTTTAATTTCTAATCCATTAACTCTTTACTTTTTATCCATTAACTCTTTAGTTTCTAATCCATTAATTCTTTAATTTCTATCCATTAACTCTTTAATTTCTAATTCATTAACTCTTTAATTTCTAATCCATTAACTCTTTAATTTCTAATTCATTAACTCTTTAATTTCTAATCCATTAAATCTTTAATTTCTAATCCATTAACTCTTTAATTTCTAATCCATTAACTATTTAATTTTTAATCCATTCACCCTTTCAATTCTAATCCTTAAATTTCTAATTCACTAACTCTTAAATTTCTAATCCGCTAACTATCAAATTCTAATCCATTAACTCTTTAATTTCTAATCAATTAACCCTTTAATTTCTAATCCATTAACTCTTTATTTTCTAATCCATTAACCCTTTCATTTTAATCCATTAATTCTAAAATTTTTTATCCACTTACTCTTAAATTTCGAATTCACTAACTCTTAATTTCTAATTCACTAACTCTTAATTTCTAATTCACTAACTCTTAATTTCTAATCCATTAGCTCTTAAATTTCTAATTAATTAAACCTTTACTTTCTAATCCATTAATTTATTCATCCTTTTACTACAAATCAATCAACATCTCAAAGGGACTGCACACTTAATTTCAAGTAACAATCCATTTATGAAGGAAAGCTTCCGATTCCCACCGGTGCCCTTTAACCTTTTGTTGGAAAAATAAGATATCCATTATTCACAAATTTTCGGAATTATGCTTCAGAAACAAACGAGAAATTTTTCAGAATAAAACACTTTTAAAAAACATCCCATAACATCCACATTATTGATCAAATAAAGGATTAAAGATATGACTAGAAAATGATCCTCGTTGAAATTACGATGACAGTCCCTTTAAGCTGCTGATTTAATCCCAGGGCATCAGTAAAGAGAACAGACACATTGGTTCGATCCATTTCTTTACAGGACTACAGGTATATACTTTACAAGACTACAGGTATATACTTTACAGGACTACAGGTATATACTTTACAGGACTACAGATATATTTTTTACACAGGACTACAGGTATATACTTTACAGGACTACAGGTATATACTTTACAGGACTACAGGTATATACTTTACAGGACTACAGGTATATACTTTACAGGACTACAGGTATATACTTTACAGGACTACAGTTATATACTTTACAGGACTACAGATATATTTTTTACAGGACTACAAGTATATACTTTACAGGACTACAGGGAATACTTTACAGGACTACAGGTATATAGTTTATAGGACTTCAGGTATATAGTTTACAGGACTACAGGTATATACTTTACAGGAATACAGGTATATACTTTACAGGACTACAGGTATATTCTAATTCTCAAAGTCATGTCAGATAAAATATTAGATGTATCTAATTGAAATTGAATTAGTAAATTTTCTGCTTTGACAAAAGTAAGTGAATAATGTAAAAACTATATTTTCTATTTTTCTGCTCAGATGTTGAACCACATGCATTGAAAAGTATCTTTTTTTCTTTATTAATAAGTTTATTTTCAGTTGCCGTGAAGAAAATACAATTATTGAGGTAACATATTTTTTCACGCTAAACTAAGTTTTTTAGCGTCCATTATACCCTCTTCTTAATTAGAAAGGGTGAAAGTTCATGTTAAAAAACGGTCTGTGAATGGGGGGGGGGTATATTCATTATAACCCCCAGTCGGAATTCCGTTACGCGGAATTGGGCCAAACTGTTCTTGAATTGCGCGGAATTGAGCGGAAATACGCGGAGTTTACAGGGCTCGCAATTGCTCGCCTGTAAAATCCACTTGCGTTGGAAACCCTGCTTGTAAATGGGATTTTTTCCATTCCTACATGTTTAATCTCAAATCTTTATACAAGCAAATTTTTATTTATTAGTCTTCCTGTGAAAAATCAAGTTCTCCTATTGGAATTCAAGAGTTTATGGCAAAGGTAAAACTATTTCCAAATGCTAAAATGATTGGAAATTCTGAAGTCTACTTTTGTATATTTTTTAATGATTTCAGTTTCCTTACAAAAGTTGTCAGCGCTGTCATGGCATGCCCAAGAGTGCTTTCAGCAACTTTAAAGAGCAGCGACCTGCCTCAGCAAAGCGTCGGAAGGTTTCAGGTATTTTTTGTCTTTTAATATTTTTTTTCATAAACAAATTCTATTCATAAATAATAGCTTTACACAAAAACTATTTGTTGGTGTCCATATTATAGACTTGAAAAGAATTCAGTATTAAGCTTGAATTAAGAATTAAGTATTAAGATTGAGTGGAATAACAAAGCATGGTTGCACACAAACTATATTTGCATTATAACAATACAAAAGATTAGTGTTAGACCAACTAAAGTTGATCTAAATACACATGACATTCGCCTGAGGTGATTATATTTCCATTTGACTCTTCTGATCAGATGCTTCGGGCTAACTCTTGAGTTAAAACCGCAGGAAACATGTAATTAAAAACAAAGACCCAAAAATTCTGACTGTTGTTTCTGAAGTCTCATCCTTTGTGTAATATAGAATGACTGGTTCATGATTCTTGTTTAAAACATAAAGTTAATTTAATATGCAGTCAAATTATCTAGATTGCTAGTATGTGTAAATACTGTTCATCTCTTATAGGGTGTTCAACTGAAAATGACTATCCAAAAATGACTGAGTATCATGTTTGATACGAATCTTTGCTGAATAAGCTCTGAGAGTTAAATTTTATATAAATATTTTTACAACAACTGCTATGTGTAAGGGATGTTAAAATTCGCAGTTGTCAACTTTGACTTCCATTAAACAGTACTTAAACAAATAATTTTAACGAAAATATAGTTTCTTGAATATTTTATCATAAATAATAATATTAAAATAAGGTTAGAATTTTGCGAAAATGGGTTGTTCACTTTTTCGTTGCATGAACGAAATTTTCGTAAAAGAGATTGATTATTAATATTATAAACTAATAATATTATCAGTATTATCAACTAATTATCTTATTATTAACTAATTTAGTTGGGTGGGGACAAGAAAACTACAGTCATATTCCACAGGTAGTTTTTTCAATATTTTCTATTTATCTATTTATCTCTATATGTATATTTAATTATTTATATATATCGTCGCTGCCCTCTGGATGTTTTGTAGGCAAAATTGCTCTTGGTGAAGGAAATATTCCTTACAAGGACTGTAAAGGAAAAATGACAGGATCATCAGATAGAACTCTTATAGGTCTTAATCAACTACTGAGATTCTCGGGTCTCAGCCTTTACCCCCTTTTATTTTTCCTTTACAGTCCCCTTAAGTAATTGTAAATAATTATAATTTACTTAATATTGAGTAAATTGTTCTTTCGGCGTAATAGTGAAGTTCTTTGTTTGCTGTTAGTGGTCTGCAATATTTATTACTAGTTTATTATACAATAAATATTAAACATTTCCATACACTTATACAACAACACACTTTTTCACAAACAGAAGTAGTCAACAGAAAATATAAAATTTTAAAAATTTTCATAATTTTCAGAATCAGTTTCGTTTTGTATGGGTGTCAGCCATAATAAAATTTAAGAAATAAACGCTTTTTGGTTCCACGTAAAAAGAGAAAGAAAATGATATTAAACTCTCAAAAATCAAGAAAGAAAAATCGATACCAGCGATCAGTTGTTCTTATAATTGTTCATTGTTCATTGTTCATAGTTTATTGTTCATTTTTCATTGTTCATTGTTCATTGTTCATTGTTCATTGTTCAGTGTTCAGTGTTCATTGTTCACAGTTCATTAATCTTTGTTCATTGTTCATCGTTCATACTTTCAATAACCTAACTGTGATATATGTACTAGGCTAGCCGACCCTCCTCACCAGATACACAACTCAGTTCAAGAATACTTAAACCTGCAGCACAGTTTACCAAGGTATGTACAGTCTACCAAGGTATGTACAATTCACTAAGGTATGTACAATTCACTAAGGTATGTACAATTTGCCAAAGGATGTACAGTTTACCAAGGTATGTACAAATTACAAAGGTATGTACAATTATAAAGGTATGTACAATTTATCAAGCTATGGAAAATTTACCTAGGTATGTACATTGTACAATTCTCCAAGGTATGTACAATTTACCAAGGTTTATACAATTACAAAGGTTTGTACAATTCACCAAGCTATATATAGTTACAAAGATATGTACAATTCACCAAGGTATGTACACTTTAACAAGGTATGTACAATTCACCGAGGTATGTACAATTCACCAAGGTATGCACAATTTACCAAGGTATGTACAATTCACCAGGGTATGTACAATTTAAATAACATTACAAGTTATCAGTTTAAAAGAACAGAAACAGAATTAGCCTGTTTTTTAGGACTATAAAGATCTAATAAAATTTCATATGCCCATACTCGTACCGGCACGACATGCTATATTTAGTCAGAATGTATTATGATGCCATCTAACGGTTCAACTATTTATCTCTGTCCTGACCGTTAACGCTAGGATAAAAGTCTAATATTGACTATAGTGATTCTGAAGAACTATAAATGAAATAATTTGTTTCATGTACCAATTCGTTCTCTAGGACAGACCCCATTTGTATGTTTGTTAATTTATCATTGATATATATATACAGTTTACAAGCAATGTACACCTCTTTTAACTCGATCTTTGCTAGTATTCCTTGTGAGCAAAATATACAATAATACTAATAATAAACAGATTATTACTTTAGGATGAAATGGATAGATATGAATACTGTTTAAATGTTGAACTTATGGATCAAAATGTGGAAGCACTCTCAAAACAACAATACAATAGGATAAAGTAGGAACACCATCTCGTTTTTAATAACTTTATATAGCTTTAATGTTTTTTATTACAATGAGAAACAGAAAACTCGAGAATATTTAGACGACATTATAGTAATCTGTATTCGATGTTATCACAAAGCAAAAAGTTTTACTAGTAACCTATTATGTCAATTGTTAAGTTATTGCTGTGTCCTCTGTTCATTGGACTATTCATAACTTGAGTCCAAAAGTCGCCTTCCTATTCCAGAGTATTCTGGTTTTCAGTGTACTATATGTTCAAAATTCTTAAAAAATAAGAAAACTACATTTTTATACAAATTAACCAACACGTTAAAAAATATGTATTAAAGCAAATATGAAAATTTTTTATGTTTGCCGTATCTTGTATTTTTACTGTTCTGCATATTGATGCACCCCGCCCCACTAGGACCTTGAGTAAACCTGCATGGTTCAATAATCTTATGTTACTCTAGGTAGGGCTGGGCAAGTTCCAACTTTTTTTTTTAATCGTTCCGTTCTAAAACTAGGGCCTTCAGCTAGATCATTCCGTCCTCGTTCTTTCTTTTTCCAATCTAGGTCCTTGTGTAAACCTGGTTGGTTTAATGATCTCATATTACTCTAGGTACTTGTGTAAACCTGGTTGGTTTAATGATCTCATATTACTCTAGGTCCTTGTAAACCTGCAGTTGGTTTAATTATCTCATATTACTCTAGGTCCTTGTGTAAACCTGGTTGGTTTAATGATCTCATATTACTCTAGGTCCTTGTGTAAACCTGGTTGGTTTAATGATCTCATGATGAAAAGTAAAATATCCGTTCTCCATCTTGAAGTTGAAGAACAGCACTCTGAAGCCTCCAGGAAAGCTATACTAGACTATCTTCTGCTAGACCCACAGGAACAAAGACGACTAGAAATCCAGGTAATAATAAGGCCAACCTTTAACCCTATTCCTACCAATGTTGTATAATAAGTTTGCTAACTTTCGATGCGCTCCATTGTACGAGAAACGTCCTCTCCTCAGCATAGATAGATATAATTCTCATATGACGTCACTGATTAAAGAGGCGATCTATCTATGCTAAGGAGACGACATTTTCCGCACACTAGAGCGCATTGAGAGTAAGCAAGCTTACATAAAACCTTGATTCTTACTGTCGTCCCCTCTACCCAAAATACGGGGTGGCTGGTGGGGGAGAGGGAATTATCAGGAGACCCAACCCCCCTCCCTCTTTATTTACTTATCGTGACACTAATATCTAATATTTCCCGAGAACAAATTTGTAAAAATTCAAATATTTATTGCGATATACATGGTTTCTTAGCAGAAAATCTGCAAAAACAAGAATGGCGCAAAATATGACAAGTAATGCATTTAAAAAAGCACTTGTACCAACTATTTCAAATGTACAATAATATTCAAAATAATTTCGAATCTATATTGAATCAAAACAAACTGACAATGTGCAAGTTCTCTTTACTGTCGATAAAACTGGGCAAAATTTGTAATTGTAGCGATATTTATTTCTTATATTTTAATACAGGTTTTTTAAGATTTACTTCGAAAATACTTTTCTTTAGAAGAACAGTTTTCTAATAATAAATTATTATATTAATGCTTGTTGTTTTTTCTAGAATGTTGCGCAAAGCTGGACTCCTCTAGTAGTTAGAGCTCCAGTACCCTGGCATCAAACATATCTTCAGGTATCTTAAACATATATTGAGGTATCTTAAACAAATCTTCAGGTATCTTAAACATATCTTCAAGTATCTTAAACATATCTGCAGGTATCTTAAACATATCTTCAAGTATCTTAAACATATCTTCAGGTATCTTAAACATATCTTCAGGTATCTTAAACATATCTACAGGTATCTTAAAAATATCTTCAGGTATCTTAAAAATTCTTCAGGTATCTTAAAAATATCTTCAGGTATCTTAACCATATCTTTAGGTATCTTAAACATATCTTCAGGTATCTTAAATATATCTTGATGTATCTTAAACATATCTTGATGTATCTTAAACATATCTTGATGTATCTTAATCATATCCTGATGAATCTTAAACATATCTTCAGGTATCTTAAACATATATTCAGGTATCTTAAAAATATCTTGATGTATCTTAAACATATCTTTAGGTATCTTAAACATATCTTCAGGTATCTTAAATCTATCTTCTAGCTTCTTAAAGGGACTGTATTGCGTAAATTCAAGTGACCTGTTCCATGCAAAGATGCCTAGTTAAGATTTATCAATGTAAAACATTTTAATGATCATTTTTGTCTTAGAATTTATAAAAGAAGTGTTATTTGAATTCTAAGTTTCATTGTTGGATAATTCTTATGTCACAAGAATTTTTACAAAATAAATTAGGCTTTCTCTTTCTTCTTTGATCTGTAGAAGGTTTAAATGGTAAATACCATTGTGAATCTGTTACTAAAGTTACATATCTAATCATCATTTGCTGCTCTACAGTTCTCTGACACTTTTCGACATATAGAATAAAGAAGAAAAAGTTGTAACTTTTTTGCAATTTTCATTTTGCAGTATTTTCGCACAAGTTTTAGATATTTCTATAACAGCACATGTTGCACATTTTTAAAAGCATTCCGCAATATTATTTCAAATATGTAAACAAATTTAGCATTATTTTGTCGCAAAAATTGTGCCAAATGGTTTGCTAAAAGTTTGAAAAAGTTTGCATAAGCAATTTGCTAACTTTCTCTATGGGCCATGTAGATCGTAAAATGTATGACAACTCTTTTGCAAAACCTGTCTAAAAAAAGCATTGCAAAACTGCGGGAAAAATGTTGCAAACATCATTGGAAATAGTATGGTTGATATACTCTTCTGAAAACATATAACTTACTTTTTATAGAATCAATAAAAGCACTGTTGGATGTAGCGCAAAGTTTGTTGTAAAAATTGTGCATATTTCTTTAAAAATGGAGGCAATTTGACCCCCCCCCCCCACCAGTAGGAATAGGGTTAAAACTTGTTTCTCGGTCCCCCTAGAAGCTCACTGTATAATTATCTTGTAAAAACAATGATATATATTTGCTGTTCTGAAGTAGCTCTTGTCAGGTTTAGAGGGAAGAAGTGTAAGTGATTTCCAAAAGGTGTTTTTGTGTCCTCTGTGGTCAGTTTTAACTGTCTGGAAATTCTATCATATTGGTGTAAAACAGTTTGATTTAATGCAAACACGACTCGACCTAGTTCTTGTGTAAATCTTGTAAAAAAATAAATTCTTGTTAAACCATTTTATCAGATGTAATTTTTAATCAGTCTTTTAATTTCATGGGGAACATCTTAGCTAAATTCCCAAAGGAATTACAGGGAGCGTTGAATTATAAGATAGAGAGTGAGCATGCGCCTAACTCCTTTGGGTCTCTGCCTCAGGGTGGTTATTGTGAACGTAAAACCCCTAAATCTTGAAAAGACGACATTTATGGTTCCACTAATTTTATGTTAAAAATAAACAAACTATTAAAGTTATCGGTCTAATCTTAAAATTTGGGCTATAAACATGCATTTTAAACCTATACCTCCTGTCTAACTCACTGCACACAAATATGTATTTTCACGATTTTTGTCTAAAAACTCTTGACAACCTTTTTTTTTAGGCAAACCAGTTCTGTCGGCATAATCTGTTTACTCTGAACACAGTTTTAGAGAAGATAAACAATCTCTGGTGGAGAAGATATAATAATCTCAGGTTAATTATAGTTCACATATCTATATATATACTTTGCTTGTCTGTGTGTCTCTCTGTTTGATTGTATCCAAGAAACGTCAAAACGGTTGAACTGATTGGGCCAACATTTTGTACTGGACCTCACATAATCCCATGGAAGTTTCATGGATGATCAAAATTTTAGAAATTTGCCTCTAACAAAATTCTTTTTAAAATCTAGATATTTATTATCTCCGTATCGAGATTATTTAAATTGTACAAAATAGTTTACATGAGTTAAATAATAAAGTTTTACGACAAACTTGTTTACATATTTTTGAGAGAGTTATATAAGAGTTAATTTACGGATACATTTTTTAAATAAAAATTTGGAATCAAGGCTACTTGGATTATGCAAAACATACAAATTGAGAAGTGTACCAATGAAATGGTAGAACATTAAATGCATATAATAAGTTATTGACGAGAAAAGTGTATGCGGATTGAATAGAAATTTTTTATAACAGAATCGTTTACATATAATTTGAGCAATTTATGTTGAAATCAGTTTGCGTATACACTTTACACTTTTCATGAAACCTTGATATAGAGTCTATATATACACAAAACACACAGATTGTACCAACGAAGTACATTGATGGCTCTTCATTGGTGTGGCTTTATATTAATTAAACTATGTAATCTTGAAGCTATTTAGCCAACGTAAAGGTGAGAAGCTATATCGTTAAGAAACATACTAGCGCGGAACATTGATGGTTCCTTGCTGCCTCTAACAAAATTCGATTTTGTCATTAAATGTTGATCATCCACGAAATTATTTTAAAAATGTTCACAATTGAAATAGAATGAAGCGTCCTGTAAGCCTATTTATATATATACATACAAGGCTAAAAATAATTTAAAATAATATGGATTTTATGGATTGGCATGCTGTTTTATTAACCCATTAAGATTTGTGTAAATTTTAAGATTTTGTTTAGATTTTCAGTTTAAAACTTTAAAAAGTAGTTTTTTACTTAATGGCATTGCAAAGTTTTTATTTAAATATTATTTAATTTGATGACTCGATTTATAATAATAGTATTTTTCAAATGAAATAATTTCAATACATGTTTATCCATTGGGAATAACCCCCCAACCATGGTTATTTTTTCCATCTATATATACATACTTTGCTTGTTTTTTTCGTCTGTCTGTTTGTCTATTTGTATCCAATAAACGTCAAAACGGCTGAACCGATCGGGCTCAAATTTTGTGTGGGACCTCGCATGACCAAAGGAAAGGTTTATGGAAGTTATTGATTTTTGTGAAATTTTAAAAGAATTATGAAAAATATTTGAAAATTCGCAACTTTTCTTGATGGTTTTAATATACTGGACAAAGAGAAGATGCTCACAGATATTTAAAATTAAATTAGAGGATGGGCGCGAGTTGCTATTGACTTAAAAATGGCCGGCACTTATTTGCTCAAACTTCTTCATTTCCCTACATTATAATTAAAGACAAAATTTTCCATAAGAAATCTTTGATCTTACGGATAAAATATAAGATATGATAAGCCCCATAAGAAACTAAAACCTTAAAACTGTATTTCAGTTGAATTAAAAATGATTAAAGCAGATATATTTGTGAAGCTTTCCTTAATTTGTTGAAGATTTTCAGTTTGCACAAGGATTAATGCTAAAACAGTTCTTTTTCTTATTTTGCCAAAATATATTTGCATAATTTTATACTATATTTTATACTTTCTACTTTCAGATAAAAACCAGTTAGAAGTTAGAAAACATTGAAATTTCAAAATTCTAAACAATCTTTCTTTAGAATCCATTTTTTTCAGTGCGTAAAATTCAAACGATACGAAAGGAATAAGGAATTCAAATTTTCTAGGTTTTTAGTGTTAGGACTTTTTCTATATAGTCTATGGAAAAATAATATCTATGACATGGGTTTTCTATCTTTAAAATAAATCTTTATATATTCTCTCTCTCTGTGATTGAACGTCTAATCTAGCATTTTGTTTTTTTAATGAAATGTCCAACTATAAAGAATGGTTTTAAAAATGTAGAATATTTCCTTGTTTACAGCAACATTGAAAGTGAATTTTTTTATTAGAAAACGACGAAAAGTCCTTGGAAGTTTAGAACTTAAAAATTTAAAAAAGAAAAACTTAATTAATGTACAGGCAATGCTACCCGCAATCGATGAGTCTATTGATACTACTGAATGGAATTTATGAAGCCTTGTATAATACAGACATGTTTCAGTGCAGCTGTACGCTTTTTTATTTTTCAAACATCTATTTGGCGAGGTTTAGATCGTCTTTGCAGTAAGCAATACGAGTTGAGTTATAAATGCAATTTTGATCATGTCTAAGACGTCAAAAACATTCAATATTCTCTTTTGATTTTAGTTTAGGTAAAAAAGTGCAAACGTTTTATTCAACCTAAGATATATATTTATGTGGATTTAAATTTGAAAAGTTTAGAATTGATTTTGAAGATATAAGAAAATATTGCTGAATCAGCAAACTATGAGAATACAATTCTGGACATTGTCAGCTTACACTAGTTCCCACATGTAATATTTTCTTCAATGTCTTCAATTAATGCTAAAATCCCTCTATCCATCCTCCTCTCTACTTGTCTTACAAATGCCCTTCTCCCAAATTATCTACCTTCTCCCCATCCTCCTCTCTACACCTCTTACCCATCCCCTTCTCCCCAAACAACTCTTTTGCAAAACCTGTCTAAAAAAAGCATTGCAAAACTGCGGGAAAAATGTTGCAAACATCATTGGAAATAGTATGGTTGATATACTCTTCCCTACTGTTAGAAAGAGGATGCAGAATACTCCGCTAGAATACCTTCTGAGAAAACAGTTTAAAATCATTCTTTCAAAATATAAAAAGAATACGTGAGAAGAATACACTGCAGAATAGTTGCGGATTTATCAATTCTTTTTTAACCAAACCAAATATAAAACTTAATTATTTCTCAACACATAGTTTGATAGACTTTTAGGGCGCTATTTTAACTTTTAATTGTGGGTTTATCTGTAAACATGTTCTCTTTGTACAATATAAAACAATAACAAAGTTTTCACGGATTTACTAATATTTTTTCGCGCTTTTTCAAACTTTTACAAAAATCAAAAACTTTTAGACACTAAATTGTGTAAGTTTGAGCATCCATAAACCTTCCCTTGTTCATGTGAGGCCCTATACAAAATTATGGTCCGATCTGTTCAGCCGTTTAGACGTTTATTAATGAATACTTGCAAAAAGACAGACAGACAAGCCAAGTTTATCTTTAGATGCTATTTTTACTTAAATAGATCATTTTATCCTTAGTCATTTAATTGCTCGTCTTTCATAAAAGCTTTAAATAACTTTTTAATAATATTATTTCATATTATATTACATTTCAACCACTTATTTGGGCGCCTTTGTCCGTGTTTCCAGTATCGATTCTAGAGTTTAAGTAAGACTATTTTTCAAAAAATTCGCAGATCGTTTTGACGTTTAGTGGAAAGAGCCAAAATATGTAAATTCTTTCTCAGTTTTTGTATTTTTTTCTTATTATCTTAATGCTCCAGCAAGTATATAATCTTGATGACCCAGTTAGTATATAATCTTGATGTCCCAGCAAGTATATAATCTTGATGTCCCAGCAAGTATATAATCTTGATGTCAAAGCAAGTATTTAATCTTGATGTCCCAGTAAGTGTATAAGAAATGAATCTGTTTGTTAAGGTTTGTATCTCCAGCTCGACTCAGAACTGTTGATGGAGGACCAGTTAGTCCTAGAGATTTCGAGAACAGGTAAAATATTACAGGTTGCAACATATTAACAATTTGAAAAAAGAAAACATATGTTTAAAGTTTAATTAACTCACTTAAAATTAATCAACCACATTAAAGCTGTAAAGTGCAAAATCTTTTATGAGATTTTTATTTATGACTTATAGAAATGTTTACACAATTTAATCTTATTTTTTCTAAATGAAAGATCAATTCAGATTTGATCAGACAACACAGATTTGAATTCTGATATCGTTTTTTTCAGTTTGCGTTAGACAAATTTCTTTATAAACAAAAAAGGAGGAGGAGAATTGATTTAGAAGAGAAATATTTGGCATATGAATTCGCACGGCAGCTAAATTTAATTTGCGTTTTAATCCATTTTCTACTCTGGTCTATCACAAATGTTTGCATATCATACTTTTTAAACAAGTAAACCAACCTTTTTACAGATTTCCTTCCCATTAAAGGGAATGTAAGCGTAATTTCAAGTGACCCTCCATGCAACTAGAGGTCAATGCCTAATTTACAACGGTACCTTTGAAATCTTTATCTCTTTACGTGGCTTGTGTTTACTTCAGATTATTTTTCCATTGCTTCCTATATACAATTGAAACACAGTTGAAAATAGTCACTTTTAAGCATTCCGTTGTGAATTGGGCATTACCATCATGACTGGTTACTTGAAATTACACTTATAGTCCCTTTAAGTGTTTTGATAATGCTAATATCTTATTTAGGGTGTTTTCGCAATGTGAAGAAGCGAGAAATTTACTCATTAAACGGTAATTAAAACAAATTTCTATTAATTCTGCCAAAAACAGACTATTAATATTTAATATTCTTGTTTTCTAAGATGGCTGCCAGAGGTTGGAATGATTCTAGTGAAGGAACGCCAAGCCTGGGCAGATCTGGTTCCAAAGTATAAAATATTTTTTATATAATTCTCCAATTACAGGATGTCCCACGAAATATGAAGTTGAACTAATTTTTGGCATGCATTAATCAACTTACTTTTATACATATATTCGATTTTTGAATGAATGCTGCAAATCATTTCATATATCAAAGACAACCTTCGAGTTGTCTCTGTACTGTAATGTTTCGTGGGATACCCTGTAGATAACATTAAATTGGCCGAAGGGCCAAGCGTTGCCCGGAAAAAGATGAAAAAAATATCGATCTTTTATAGCCTATAACACTCCCCGGCCACCCTTGAGTGTCCACAAAAAAATTCAGCCCAAGCGGTCCAGCCGTTTGACCGACTATAGACAACATCTATACGAATATCTTGTTTGATTATATAGATGGAAATAAGAGCAATTTGGAATTTTGGTTGTGGTGGGGAAGGGGGGGAGGAGGTCAGGGGATGAGTGAGAATTGATTGCACCTTAGAGGCTTTAGCCTGCACAAAGAATAAGCACGGTTCAATTCTATTTAATAGTAAGTTATAGATTTATCCTATTTAATCCCTGTGATCCACTGCTCAATACATTCCATTTATAATCATATTGGATCCCTGTAATTCACTGATCAATACAGTACTACATTAATTTTATTAATCCGTGTAATCCACTGCTCAACATAATATGATATTAATCCTTTAATCCCTGTAATCAACTGCTGAATACACTACTACATTATTCTATTAATCCCTGTATGTAATCCACTGCTAAGTACACTACTGTAGTAAATGCCCTACACCTATAAATGCTTTCACAACCGTATCAATCTAGGTACAACTCAATCTAGGACCTCAAGGTTTACACAAATACCAAGCCAATATCAATCCGAATACGGCTAAGTATGCATTCTCAGGTATCTGTTTTACAAGATACAACTCAATCTGGAACTCAAGGTTCGCACCAAATACCATAACCAGTATCAGTCCGGATACGGCTCAGCCTGTATTCTCAGGTATCTGTCTTACAAGATGCAACTCAATCAGGAACTCAAGGTTCACACTAATACCATAGTCAATATCAATCCGGATACAACTCAAAATTCAAGAAAGTGATTCAAGACACTTCTCGTTCGCTAACCAAGAAGAATTATTCTCACACCTTAATCAAAGTGGATTATTATTCCAACTAAATGTATTTTGGGTTCTATGTTACAAGTTCAGTTAATCCACGTAATTACAGATTTTACGTCGTTATATTCAAGCGTAATTAAGCTACAGGTCTTATCTAGTTATATGCAGCGTAGTTAATATAATCATGTTATGTATTAATTTACAGCGCAGTTAAGATAAATCATAAAATAGGTTTTACGTTACTTTTTACAAACTTAGATAATTAATAATGTACGACGTAGTTCAGGTTTACAGATATAGGGCTACACAACATTCATTACACTACTACATTAACCCATTAATCCCTGTAATCCACTGCTCAATAAACTACTACATTAATCCATTAATCCCAATCCCTGTAATTCACTGCTACGTACACTACTACATTAATTCCTGTAATCCACAGCTCAATACACTACAACATTATCCATTAATCCCTATAATCCATTGCTAAGGACACTACTACATTAATCCATTAATCCCTGTAATCTTATGATCAAAAGAGAACTACATTAATCCTTTAACCCCTGTATTCCATTCCTCAATAATTGGGAAGAGCTGCGGTTTTTGTTGGAATCCCTAGTTTTGGATATAAAATATATCAAATTATACTTTTATTGCTCATAAAAGTAGATCTCCAAAAAGATAATGCTTTAACCAATTAAATAGGATACCAAGGTGGGGGGTNAGTTTTTGTTGGTGTTCCAGTAGACCCAATTTTTGTTGGTGTTCCAGTAGATCTAGTTTTTGTTGGTGTTCCAGTAGATCCAGTTTTTGTTGGTCTCCCAGTAGACCCAGTTTTTGTTGGTGTTCCAGTAGACCCAGTTTTTGTTGGTGTTACAGTAGACCCAGTTTTTGTTTGTGTCCAAGTAGATCTAGTTTTTGTTGATCTCCAGTAGATCTAGTTATCTACTGGATATCAATTCAGATACAACTCTCTCTGTTTTCTGAAGTATGTATCAATCCAGATACAACTCTCTTTGTATTCTTAAGTATGTATCAATCCAGATGCAGCTCTCTCTGTTTTCTGAAGTATGTATCAATCTAGATACAACTCTCTCTGTATTCTTAAGTATGTATCAATCCAGATACAACTATCTTTGTATTATCAAGTATATATCAATCTAGATACAATTCTCTCTGCATTCTTAACTATTTATCAATCCAGATACAACTCTCTCTGTTTTCTTAAGTATGTATCAATCCAGATACAACTAACTCTCTTTGTATTCTTAAGTATGTATCAATCCAGATGCAACTCTCTCTGTTTTCTTAACTATGTATCAATCCAGATACAACTCTCTCAAACTGCATACTCTCTAATAAGAGCTAATACGTCTGACCATAATAAAACAGAGTTCATATTCAACTGACTATATTTTGTGATACAGGTAAATATCAAACTGACCATTAGGTCTGTTCGAGATTAACGAACATAAGTTTATATATATATATATATACAAGTCACATAAATTAGGGTTAGTACTTTATTTATCACACACTGTACAAATCACACCTTATTTATCATTCAAACTTGAACTTTTTATAAGTAAAGACTAATAACAAACAACTTTTTTTATCATCCAATCAATGATTTTCATTTTCGATTCGCAACGATACCCGTAATCCTTTATCTAATCTAAAATGAAAAATTATCCTTGTTATTTTATTTAATGAAAAAAAGAAAACCTGAATTGAAAATGAACAACTTTTGTGCAGAAGACAAGGATGATTTCATTTTCATGTTCAAAGAATCGACCAAACTAAAAAAAATTTTATTTCTTTATTGTTTATTTATTTTGTAGATGCATGACAATACGAACTCTTGAAGATGTAGTGGAGTATATGAGAACATATTCGGTAATATGTATTTCTTTATTCATTATTTGTATTCAAGTTTATTCATTATTTATATATTTGCATTTTATATAAATTATTTGTCTTGTAATGATTTTAGCTTTCAAATGGGGGGCGTGGGGGGACGTCCCCCCCCCTGGAAAAATTAGGAGCAAAAGAAGAGAGCAGACACCTTCTTGTCCTTTAATTTAAACTTTAAGAAACTAGATTAAAAAAGCTTGCTAACACACTTTCAACCTTCCACCCACAGCTGGTAATGGTCTAAACGTGGATGTCAATTGTGCAATGTTAGTTACAAAATGTTCTGTGTTCCAGCCATTAATTATTTAAAGTATTTATAATTTACATGTTTCATTAGAGCCAAGTGTTTATTGCAAGATGTGGCAAATATTTGCTTGGGAAATATAGATATATATATTTCTTACACTTTTATGATAATTGTTATTGCCTCTAAGTACTGAAGAAAACAATTCTTAATTGAAAGTAAAATTAGGTTTAAAAATTAAGAAGTTACATTTAAAGGCTAAAAATAAAGAGTCATGGGTTTAGAGACTTATATGAGTTAGGTTTAGAAACATTACAGATAGGTTTAGTTACACTAAAATTAGGTTTAGAGACGTTATAAGTAAATTTAAAGACATTATAATTAGGTTCAGAGACATTAGAATTAGGTTTAGAGACATTAGAATTAGGTTAAGAGACATTATAATATTAGGTTTAGAGACATTAGAATTAGGTTTAAAGACATTAGAATGAGGTTTAGAGACATTAAAATTAGGTTTAGAGATATTAGAATTAGGTTTAGAGACATTATAATTAGGTTTAGAGGCATTAGAATTAACTGGGTGACAATAGAGTTAGGGATAGATACATTATAATTAGGTTTAGAGACATTATAATTAGGTTTAGAGATATTACGGTTAGGTTTAGAGACATTAGAATTAACTTGGTGACAATAGAGTCAGGTTTTGAGACATTATAATTAGGGGTTTAAATGTAAATGCATTAAAGACTTAAATGTTTATTCGTGTTGGTAATTTTGTGGGTTCAAGATTTTCGAGTTACATCATATGTTATGTTATTTTAAATTGACTTAAATCAGTCAAACTGAATAGTTTACTAATCTTTCCGGAGCAAGCTGGACGACTAATAAGAGATAAGTAAAGAAACTGATTACTCACATCTAATTCTAATTGTGTAATCTTATTTTTGTATTGTATGATATCGTAGACTTTTGTTATTTCAAATAAAGAATTCTACCAAATCAAATAGTTCATGTTTTTATGATTTTTCCAATAAAGCAAGTTTGGACTAAGTAAACGCCTTTGATAAATAAATTTTTCCAACGTACAAATAGAGGGATTATAAGTTTTAGGCCAATTGTTACTTGTCAATGGGTGTCACATTTCACGCATTGTTATATCAACAAATCATATAAGTTCAAATTGTAAGCTTAAAAGTTAGAAATTGTATGGTTGAATGTTTGAAAGAAGGAGAATTTCAGATGGTATAGCAAGGTGAAGATAAAGGATTTATTGAATGACAAGAGAAAATATAAAAGAAAATCGACAACTTTATGGAGAACTGAAAATAAGAAAAGGTTAAACTTTGGAAAAGAACTTTTTAAAAATTATTGTTTTACATTATTGTCATGTATTGTCAGGGGCTATTCCTTAACAAAACTTATTCTAACCTTTTTTTCAAAGTAGATAGAAAATTGTGATTTAATGCATCAATTTATATGTCAGTCCCCACCATAGCATTATTTCACTGATAGATATTGATAAAGTCTATAAAATATATGTTTTAATAAAACAGTATTTCTAGTAAGCTAGTCTAATATTCATGAATTTCTACATTTTTAATATTTCTGCTTAACTTTCCCTGAACCATGTATTATCTAGAACGGAAATATCCCTGAACCATGTATTATCTAGGACGGAAATATCCCTGAACCATGAATTATCCCAGGACAGAAATATCCCTGAACCATTTATTATCTAGGACGGAAATTATTTCCAAGGAGAGTTCAGTGATCTCCTGTTTGTGAGGAATCCAATGATGGATATTCATCTAGAGGTAATGTTTTCAAACATATCTCTTATTGAAGAACTATTGAAAAGAACAGCAAAAATTGAATTAAAAAACCAAATAAAGGAACTGAGTTTTGGCAACAAACTCAAATTTTCTAATATCTTTACAACCTGATAGTGTAAACCTGTAATATTTGAAAAACTTAGATTATTCAATAAAACAGAATTTATAGTTTGATATATCAAAGTCTACTTTATTGGTTTGCAAAGATATAAAGATAATAAATTCAAACTAGAATTAAAATTTGTGCTTGTAATGTTGTATATATTTGACTTTAAATATAAATAACGTATGGTTTGAAAAACAATTTGAAATAAAGAAAACTTGATATTTTTAGATCGGAGAGGAGGGAGTGATGTTCTCACCCAGCCTAGCAGATACTAGGGAGATACTAGTCTCTTGTCTCAGGGAGATAGTGGAGAATACACAGGAACATTATACATCCCTTCATTCCTTTATAGTTTCATATTCAGAATATTATACAACCCTTCCTACCTCCATACCTCCATATTCAGAATATTATACATCCCTTCATTCCTTTATACCTTCATATTCAGAATATTATACATTCCTTCATTCCTTCATCCTCTCATATTCAGAACATTATACATTTCTTCTTAGCTTCATAGTTCATATTCAGAACATTATACATCCCTTCTTAGCTTCATAGTTCATATTTAGAACATTATACATTACTCCCTTCCTTCATACCTCCATATTCTGAACATTATACATTTCTTCCTACCTTTATACCTTCATATTCAGAACATTATACATCCCTTCCTACCTTCTTACTTTCATATTCAGAACATTATACATCCCTTCCTACCTTCATACCTTCATATTTAGAACATTATTCATTCCTTCATTCTTTTATACCTCCATATTCAGAACATTATACATTCCTTCATTCCTCTATACCTTCATATTCAGAACATTATACATTCCTTCCTACCTTCATACTTTCATATTCAGAACCTTATACATTCCTTCCTACCTTCATACCTCCATATTAAGAACATTATATATTCCTTCATATTTTCATACCTTCATATTCATAACATTATACATTCCTTCCTACCTTCATACCTTCATATTCAGAACATTATACATTCCTTCATTCCTATATACCTTCATATTCAGAACATTATACGTTCTTTCCTCCCTTCATTTTTAATTTCCTGCATTAAACGTTCTTAAACGATGTACTTTGCTCGTCTAGGAGTTCCCTAGAATTGAACTGGAGATTTTCCCAGACTGCCAGGTAAACCATCTTCATATTTCTTAGACTGTCAGGTAAACCATCTTTATATTTCTTAGACTGCTAGGTAAACCATCTTCATATTTCCCAGACTGCTAGGTAAACCATCTTTATATTTCCCAGACTGCTAGGTAAACCATCTTCATATTTCCCAGACTGTCAGGTAAGCCGTCTCCATATTTCCTAGACTGCTAGATAACCATCTTCATATTTCTCAGAATGCTATGTAAACCATCTTCAAATTTCCTGGACTGCTAAAGAAACCATTTTTATAATATTGGCCTTGTAATCGTTTTATTCTTGAACTTATTTTATTCTTTCTACATTCTTCCAACCATCATCATTAATGTTTGTTTTCCTTCTTATATATTTCCTTTATGTTTTCCTCCCTATTAGCTCTGTGTAGAATCTGAATGTTTTCACTATCATTACTTTCCTCCAGATATAGTTTTTGTTTAGTTTTCTTAATCTTGGGTCTTGGGACAAATTCAGGGATCTTTATACCTTGACAGATTATTCTTAAATATACATTCCTTGACAGATTATTCTTAAATATACATTCCTTGACAGATTATTCTTAAATATACATCCCTAGTTAGATTATTCTTTAATATACATTCCTTGACAGATTATTCTTAAATAAACATTCCTTGACAGATTATTCTTAAATATACATTCCTTGGCAGATTATTCTTTAATATAAATTCATTGACAGATTATTCTTTTGAATACATTCCTTGAAAGATTATTCTTTATAATACATTTTTAACAGATTATTCTTTAATATACATTCAATGACAGATTATTCTTAAATATACATTCCTTGACAGATTATTCTTTGATATACAATATACATTCCTTGACAGATTATTCTTTAATATACATTCATTGACAAATTATTATTAGAAATACATTCCTTGACAGATTATTCTTTGAATACATTTCTTGACAGATTATTCTTTAAGATACATTCCTTGACAAATTATTTAATATAATACATTCCTTGACAGGTATTCTCTAATATAAATTCCTTGACAGATTATTCTTTAATATACATTCCTTGACAGGTAATTCTTTTGAATACATTTCTTGGCAGATTATTGTTTATTATACATTCCTTGACAGGTTATTCTTTTGAATACATTCCTTGACAGATTATTCTTTTGAATACATTTCTTGACAGATTATTCTTTAATATACATTCATTGACAGATTATTCTTTAATATACATTCATTGACAGATTATTCTTTAGAATACATTTCTTAACAGAATATTCTTTAATATACATTCATTGACAGATTATTCTTTAATATACAATATACATTCATTGACAGATTATTCTTTAGAATACATTTCTTGACAGATTATTCTTTAATATGCATTTCTTGACGAAGTATTTTTTAAAATACATTCCTTGCCATCTGCTGTACTAGAATCTATTTGGTATATTCTAAACTGTACTGTATAGGGTTTTATCCTAGGTTTTATCAAGATTTATACTGGTTCTAGTAGTCGGGTAAATGTAAACATTCTCACAAATATAAATATATCGTTATATCGTTTCTCCCATGGCTCCTTTCTTTTCAAATCATTTCACGATGTTTTATTGAAATAAAAATTTTTCGCAATTATTCTGTTAACATTCAATTTTGAATTTTAAATTTAAACTTTTGATATAAATATTTACAAAGATTCCAAGATTTTACTTTTAATCTATGATATAAAACAATTTTGAGAGAAACCAGAAAAATTCATAAAGGACTTGAGTCTTTGCCACGAACCCCAAATTTTCTAATCTCTTTATCTTTGCAACCAGATGGTGTAAACCTTTGATATTTCAAAGTATTTTTTTTTAATCTAACAGAATTCATAATTTTAAATATCAAAGAAAGGGTCGAAAAGATTGTGTGGGTCAAAAATGACATTTTTGCTCATTTCTCAAAATTTAAAGTCGTTTTAAACGAAGATCGTAGAATAAATTATTTTAAAAAAATCCTTATTTTTATATAAATATATTTTTCAGGAGGAAGAGTTGTATTTACTAAAAGTAGACTGGAACGAAGACTATGTTCAAACATTAGGTAATTATGTTTACAAATCTACAAATCTACAAATTTACAAATCTACAAATCTACAAATCTACAAATCTACAAATCTACAAATCTACAAATTTACAAATCTACAAATCATCTACAAATCTACAAATTTACAAATCTACAAATCTACAAATCTAAAAATCTACAAATCTACAAACCTACAAATCTACAAATCTACAAATCTACAAATTTACAAATTTACGAATCTACAAATCTACAAATTTACAAATTTACAAATCTACAAATCTACAAATCTACAAATCTACAAATCTACAAATCTACAAATCTACAAATCTACAAATCAAACAATTTTAAAGAGACTGTACAAGTTATTGCCTTAGCAAAAATTCTGGATTTAAATTCCTATTTTTCGCTCTTAAATTGGATATGTTTAGTTGTAGTTCTGTGTAAAAATTACGGGAAAGAAAGAAGTAAATTGTTTGATTAAAATTTTTTGTGAAGTAACAGTTGATATTACAAAATCTTTTAATTCTAACTCTTTTTTAATGTTTCTTTAAAAATTAACTGTAAGAAATTGGAATTTGTAAGTTTTGAAATCATATTTAAATAATTCTGAACTTTTGGAATATCAAAAACTATTCAAAGTATTACCTTCCCCAATGTTTTCCAGCGGCCGAATTTGAAGAATTTAAGCCGCGGCTTACATTTGAGACGCGGATCAAATATGGCTTGTTCCTCATAAAATCGTATTCAATTTTTCAAAATTTAAGCCGGCGCTCAATTGAAACCGGGTTTTAGCGGATTTGAGACGCCGATCAAATTCATTAAATTCGGACTCAGAACTTGTGTTTTTGAAATTTCTTTAAATTAAATAGATACATATTTGTATTTTATAAGATTTATTATGAAAAAATTGAGCATTTGCCACAAACTCAGATTTTCTAACCGCTATATCTTTGCATCCTGATGGTGTAAAACTTTGATATTTCAAACTTAAATTATTGATCTAACATTAATCACAGTTTGAAATATGTCAGGTCCTCGGCATGGGTTACCTTGCAAAGAAAGATGAATTATAAAATATCTTCGTATATGTAAATATACTCTGTTTACAATTATGTTGATGTATCTGATAAATAAAGTTCTTTGTACAAGGCTACAGTATCATATCAAATTATGCAAATTTACCCCGCTACAAAATTTGCAGTTATTTGTAACCATCCTGTAAAAGTAAATTACTTCAGCACTCGATATATGTACATTGTATATACATACAGGGTTACCCAGAAAGGATGAGATTGTACAGAAGACCCAAAACTATACAAATATGACGATTTGAAGCTTGCTTTGATGTTTCTGCACTCAATTGAGTATTTTTAGGGCTTACTAAATGATAAAGTAGAAAAATAAGCCAGTTTTGGTCTACAAGGAACCCTGCATGCAAGGAAATGGACGGAACAAATTCTGAATAATCTCTGAAGTCTCATCCTTTGAAACCCTGTTTTTTGACTGTTCATCGATTTGTTTACTTCTCTTAAAACCCACTAGAATACCTTTAAAATTCGATTTCCAAAAATTCGAAAGAGAATAGATTTTTGCCAATTCTAGAAATTGAAAATTAATAGAAGTTCAATAATTAAATTAAATTAACAATTAAATTAACAATTAAATTAACAATTAAAAGCTATTTTGTAGATTTACGAGAATAAGTTCGACAACAGTAATCCGTCGAATGTTTGAAGTGTACACTGTTGTGAATCGGGCATTGCCAATTCTTTGCATGGAGGGTCACTTGAAATTAAGCTCACAGTCCCTTTAAATATCACAATATTAAAGGACGTGTATATTCAAAAACATTCACATTTTGGACGAAATTATTATTCATAAATAAACATTGAATAGCTTAAAGATAAATGATAACCATGCAGTGATTGTTGCATTTGATTCAAAAATTATATAAACACGTTGATTTACATTTTCTTATAATCATTATTTCTCTTGTTTTGTATGATTTCACTTTTTCTTTTAGTGGCTGAAGCCTTGTCTATATTTGACTGTAACCTGGTGGGTCCAGTAAACTATATTAGCACTTACAACACTTACAAACACATTCTCTCTACACAGGTAAATAAAAACTACAAATCGTATTTTCAGAAACGTCGACATGGAATTTGTAAATCTATATATTACAGCTCCTCACTCATTCATAAATATATAAATGTATACAAATATAAACTATTTATTATATATACATATAGTTAATGCCTACTCCATAACAGTTTCTGGGAACGTATCTATCCAGGTGTAACTCAGATTCGATTGACTATCAATGTCTCTACAATTCTAATCTAAACTGAAGAAGCTTAGTTGATATAGTAACTCCATACGGTTTTCTGGGAGAGAGTAATCGTTGAGGATCGTGTCCTGGTTGAGACATTGATAGTTGCGGGATCGTTTCCTAGTTAAGGTACTGATAGCTCCAGACTGCGCCAAGTGGAAGTGGCGTTGATAGCTCACGCCCTGTATAGAAACTACAGTTATACAATATTCCTGTATGTTTCTAACTAGTTAGGTTACTATATTTTCATTCCAAATAAAATGTGCAGTCTGATACTACATTTTTAGGGCGCTTCGCTCTCCCTTGCCTATTATCAATTTTCGCGTTTGACAGTTACTCTGCGGACTGATAGTCGCCATTTTTCATCGTACTCTGCGATGAACATTGAAAAATCGCTGATTTTTTTCTGTCGAATTTGATGGATTTACAAAATTAAAAAATTCGAAATTTTCCGGACAAAATTTCACCATCCATAAACCTTCCCCATGGGGTCATGTTCGTTGCCACAATTTGTTTAGTCTGATAGGTTCAGCCTACCTTATTTTTATTGGATATAAACTTATTTTTATTGGATATCAACTTATTTTTATTGGATATAAACTTATTTTTATTGGATATAAACTTATTTTTATTGGATATAAACTTATTTTTATTGGATATAAATAAAACAAACAGACAGACAAGCTAAGGATGTATAAAGACTATAGCTTGGGAACCCAGCGCTGCCCAGGTCACTAAAAGTTACTCCCGCCATTTACTCACACTGAAACGATTTTTACCGGGAAACTAAATTTTTGCTATTAAAGTCAACCAACTCAACTTAACAACTAATACCAAGCTAGGAACATTCCCGTGGGTTTCTCGAGTTCCCCAATCAAAATTTGAGGCAAATCGGTCCAGGGGTTCCTGAGTTATGATCGGACAATCAAACAAAGAGACAGACAAACAGAGATTACAATTTTATATATTTAGATATCAGACAAATGAGAACTCAATAAAGGAAACTTTACAAAGAGAAACTCAATATAACAAGCCAGATTGAATCGATTAAAGCACTAACTTTGCACGGACATTTATTTTACATTATTATTAAAATACAAATTGAGGATCAACTGAAGTTAATCCTGGAATCATAGATGGAGATAATTCTCCTCCTGGAGCTACTGAAGATGTTATCGACTGCTCTCCTCTGATACTTCATCAAGACTGACCCTCTTCCGGGGCACAAAACGGACCTTCAGTTTGCTTTCTCTGCCGACGAAAGCACCGTTATCCATGCTCTCTCCAGCTAAGGGTCACGAGGGTTCGAATCTCGGCTCCGTGGAAAATTCTGTCCCCCGTTGGTAACAGATGCAAAGTAACGGGTTAAATCATTATTATTTGTTTGTCCAGTCCTCAACTCATGATAAAACTTGGCTTGGGTTGAATGAACTAGGATACAGTTATACATCCTTGGTGGGTTTACAGTATGATTAAAAGTTTAATAAATGACAACTTTTTCCAGCTTTTTTCTGAATATGAAGATATGAGCGCTTATTTGAGTTTAAAATATTTGATATATAAATCGAGATAATATCGAGATAATAACGAGATAATATCGAGATAAGTTTCACATCAATAATCATAATTCGTTTGTGAAATATAAAAAAATAAAAATAGGGTTGTTTATGTTCTGAAAAATAATATTTAAAACAACATTTTTATAGAGGTTTTTAATAAATATTCCTAAAAGATTTTTTTATTTTCAAAATGGCAATATAAAAAAATATTAAGTTCTATTCTTTTTTCGTAGAATGATAAACAATATATTTAACTAAAAAGTTCTTGTTTCAGTCTGAGATGGAAAGAGATGAATTTCTGAGAAAGGGATCTGGTCTTGATGAATTCCAGGTGATTTAATTAATTATTAAACACATTTGAAAAATCTTTGCAGACTATAAGCTTTAGATTATTTAAACTTTAAATACTGGATTACTCACAAAGGATGAGACTTCAGAGGCTATTGTAGGGAATTCATGATTCCCTGAAACTTCTTTCTATCTGTTCAAAATATTTTAAGGGTTTCAGGTCGTCTTTCAGTCTCATCCTTTGTTGGTAACCCTGTTTATTCATCTTGCAGAATTCATATTTTAAATATGAAAAGTCTACCACTACGTCAGATAACAGGATTTGAAAACTAATATTACTTATTTTTTTATTATTTGAATTAGGAAAAAATGGTTGAATATTCTATGCTTGGCAAGGAAGTTAGTGGAATTAGAAACTATGTTCTTCTCAACATGTTTGGTTTGGTTTGCACTGATCTAAACACTGAGATGTTCAGCAGGTATACAGGGTGACCCAATAAACATGGGAATTTTGCGTGAAACTGTTACGTGAATGCAATATTTGTAGTATCTCAGTTAAAACAATTAATAATTAAAAATACTAGTCTAGGGAATTCAAAAATGTGTTTTACAATTCTTCAAAATTGACGGAATTATTAAAATATATTTCCAGATTCAAATTCATTAAATAACAACAAAACCGTTTAAATGTTAAACATCTCCGGTAACAGAAGGCAGACCACATTTTGTAAAGCTCAAAAGACGTACGTCGGAAAACTTTTACTTCGAAATATATTCTTTTTCATCTGTCAACTATCGGAAACTAAGACATCACCCTGTACCTCTACCCTGTTTTTAATTTTTTTTTACTTTTATGCACATTTTATACTTTTATACAATTTTATACTTTTATACATTTTACGCTTTCATACATTTTATATTCATTTAATACTTTTTTACATTTTATACTTTACACATTTTATACATTTATACATTTTATGCTTTCATACATTTTATATACATTTTATACTTTCATACATTTTATACTTTTTTACAATTTATGTTTTCATACATTTTAATATTTCTTTACATTTTATACTTTACACATTTTATACTTTTATACATTTTATGCTTTCATATATTTTATATACCTTTTATACTTTCATACATTTTATACTTTATATACTTTATAAAGAAAACTACAGGATGCACTATAGCACACAATTCAGCCAGACGTTATAACTGCGAACCAAAATGTGCTCTCAAGCAAAAAAGCTAAAAATATTTTGGTAAATACTCGGTTTTAGCTTAAGCTAGCTTTAGAATTTATATGTCTAGGGATACACGAAAGCATAATCGACTTGGTGAGGAAAATCCATAGCCTATTTTGAGGAATAACTTTCATGGTTGTCAAACAATCAAAATCGTGGTACATCATCCTCATTATCACTTAGTCCCCCCCCCCTCGGTAAATTTAGAAAATACAGATATAATAAGAAACCAACGATTTATCGTATTGTGTAAAAATGTACTAAATATGTAATAAATTAAGATTTCTTTCTCCATTTCATTGTTATCCCATCTTTTTCTGAAACATATGATAAAGGAAAATTAACTGATACAAACTTACAATCTTATTTCAACCAAGATTAACTGAATTATTTATACCAATGAAAAATGTAATTCGAATGTCATATTTCTTTGAAATATCAAAATTTCTTCGGGCTAATGAACACGAACAAATTTTCTGTGAAACTTCGATAAAACGATCGTTTTTTTACTGAAAAAACGATTTTATCGAAGAAAATTTAAAGAATAGAGTTTTTTTTACTATTATAACAATCGTTTATTTTTGAACGAATGATTTTCTTCAAATAAATATTTTTCTGAACAAACGATTTTACTGAACGAGCGTTCATTGAGAAAACAAACGAAATAGATGGAAAATGAACGATAATTTTGAGAACGAACGAAATCAATTATTTTTTGAACAATTTTAAACAAAAACCCTAAAGGTCTGTTTATAAACGAAACAAACGCGAATGCTCCAATCTCTAGTTGTTTCTGTTGTAATCAATTGGTTTAATCAAAATGTGGCTATTCAAAGTTCAGATGATATCTTTTATTATTCATCCGCGCAAACTCATGACAGTATTTGTGTTTAGAACTGCTGGTCTAAGGTTGAGTTTGATTAAGTACCAGGAGGAGTTGAACAGGAACTGGAACAGGGATATCTGTAAGAAGTTTGATGAGATGGCGGGGAAACTAGGAGAAATACCAGATCATACAAAGGTATCCTATAAACTATCCTTTACTTTAATACATGTTTGATGAAAAATTTGCAAAAAAGCGAACATTTTCGAATTTTTTGCTAGCGAAAGAAATGCGAAAAATTGCGAAATACAACATTACCACATTTTTTTCACAGTATTTAACCAAAATTTTCAGTTATAGTTTCATTTCTAGATATATAATACAATATATCTAGTAAATTCATTCCTAGATACAATACAATATATCCAGTAGTTTCATTCCTAGATGTACAATACAATATATCCAGTAGTTTCATTCCTAGATATACAATACAATATATCTAGTAGTTTCATTCCTAGATATACAATACAATATATCTAGTAGATTCATTCCTAGATATACAATACAATATATCCAGTAGTTTTTTACTAAAGCTACTGGTTGTTTGGACAAACTGTTTGTTACTAAAGCAACTAGTTGTTAGCACAAACGTGTTACTAAATTTATTGGTTGTTTAAACAAACTGTTTGTTACTGTGGCTACTAGTTGTTAGCACAAACTTGTTACTTAAGCTACTGGTTGTTTGAACGAAATGTTTGTTACTAAAGCTACTGGTTGTTAGCACAAACTGTTTGTTACTGTGGCTACTAGTTGTTAGCACAAACTGCTTGTTACTGCGGCTACGGCTACTATTTACATTGACAAATTATTTGGAACTGTATTTTTGTTCAAACAGATAACTTACTAATGAATCATTCTATTTTCTAGATAAAAGATCAGTTTGAAATAGTTTAATTGGAAATATTGTAATTTGGAACATTTTCTGAATTTATTCCTGTGATTTTATACGTTCTGAATCATTAAAGTTTAATTGGTGTTCTATACAGAGAGTACTCTTCCTTCTAGACTCGACTATACTTCCTAAGGAAGATATTCAACTAAACACAAGAGTTTTTCATTGGCCTAAAGGTAGACACATTTTTGTAGAGTTCATTGGACTAGAAGTAGGTAGGTAACCTTTATGTAGATTTCATTGGACCGCATGTAGAAAATCTTACGTAGTTTTCATTGGATGGTTAAGGTAGATAACCGTTAGTAGATTTCTTTGAACCAAATGCAGACAATATAATACAGTTTTTATTAGCCTACAAGGCTACAAGTGTAGTCATTGCACTAAAGGTAGATAATCTTTATGTAGATTTCATTCGACAAAAGTTAGACAATACTATTTAAATTCTATTGGACTAAAGGTAAATAATCTTTCATAGATTTTATTGAACAAGTTTTACTGTTTTAACGACAACAAAAAACACTTTTTAGCCAAAAATAGCAGTCTTTGCTAGATAACTATACAAATTGTTTAGATATGGCTGCAGTGTTTGATCTGTCCAAGACTAGGATAGGAAATAAGAGAGACCAAGTTGAAGATGCATTAAGAGAACGCATAGACAAGTTTGAAACAATGGTAATTATGAAATGGGAAAATGTTATCAATGGTTATCTGCTTTAAAATTGATTATTTTCAATCTTGGCTTCTTAGTGAGTTTTTTCAATGAATTCTCTATGAAAATAAAACAATTGTCGTCGTATATTTCAATACAACGATGAAGAATTTTGATTTTAATTTGTTGTTTCTACTATAGCTTTCAAACAACATGGATACAAATAAACATGGAAACAAAGAGAAGCTGTCAATGAAAAGCTTATCTTTGTACACTTGTAAAATTTTGATTAAAATTTAAAAAAATCTTATTAGTAAACAAAACTTAAATTCATCTCTATTGTATTGATATAAATGCCAACCATTATAACTCAACAATCAGGTTCCATGAGATTCTACATTCAGCATATTTACCTAGGAATAAGTTTCTTGTTTGATTCGAGGCAAACAAGAAACATTTTTTCCGGTAAACTCAATCTCTTGCTCAATCATTTTCTTTTATCATTTTCTCAATCCTTGCTCCATTGATTAATTGATATTGATCAATTGGTATTTGTCAATTGATATTGATCAATTGATATTGGTCAATTGATATTGGTCAATTGAAATTATCCAACCGCCTTGTCCTGATTATTACAGCCCCTATTGCCCCTTTTCTATTAAATTCCCTGGCTCTATGAGCTGTAATCTGCTAAAGACTGTATTTGTAACTATACACTGGACAGCTATATTTTATCCCTCACACTAAAAGTGTATCATAATAAATATCAGACATGTCTCAGTTTATAAACCATAATATTATATATATATTTATATACATATATATATATATAAACACAACCCCTTTACAATTCTTCTTCCATCTTGAACTTCCTTGAACCTTGAACCTTGAGCCTTGAACCTTGAACCTTGAACCTTGAGCCTTGAACCTTGAACCTGGAACCTTGAACCTTGAACCTTGAACTTTGAACCAATTGAACCTTGAACCTTGAACCTGGAACCTGGAACCTCGAACCATGAACCTTAAATCCTGAACCTTAAACCTTGAACCTTGAACCTTAAAACCCGGAACCTTAAACGCTGAATCAAGAACCTTTAACCAACCCTGGAACCTTGATCTTTGAACCTTGAACCAATTGAACCTTGAACCTAGAACCTTGAACCTTGAATCTTGAACCTTTAAACTTGAAGCTTACAGTTCGAACCCTGAAATCTGAACCTTAAACATTAAAAAATTGAACCATGAACTTTAAACTTTGAACCTTGAATTTTGAACCGTAACCTCGAAACGTGAAACTAAAATCATGAACCTTGAACGTTGAACCTTGAACCTTGAAGTTTGAACGTTGAACCTTGAACCTGTATTACAGGTGAACAAGGCCAGTAAGGACCTGGAACTGTTTATGAGAAAGGATCCCCCAGTTCTAACTACAGATGAGATGAGAAATAGTTCTGGAACCATAGATAGGTAAACTACAGGTTGAATTATATTTTCACTTGGTTCAAGAAAGGATACCTCTGTACCTGTACACCTCTATATCTCTGTACATCTACACCTCTATAACCCTGTACCTCTGTACCTCTGCACATCTGTACCTTTGAAACTCTGTACCTCTGTACCTATGTACCTCTGTACCTTTGTACCTGTGTACCTGTGTACCTGTGTACCTGTGTACCTCTGTACCTCCGTACCTCTTTTCGTTTGTACCTCTGTTCCTCTATACATTTGTACCTCTATACCATTGCACCTTACATCTGTACCTCTGTACCTCTGTACCTCTGCACATCTGTACCTCTGCACATCTGTACCTTTGAAACTCTGTACCTCTGTAGTCTGTACCCATATACCTTTGTACCTTTGTACCTTTGTACCTGTGTACCTGTGTACCTGTGTACCTGTGTACCTGTGTACCCCCGTACCTCTTTTACTTTGTACCCCTGTTCCTCTGTACATTTGTACCTCTATACCATTGCACCTTACATCTGTACCTCTGTACCTCTGTATTTACTAGGCTGGACAAGCTGGTTTCTAGTGCTGTGGACCAATTGGCAGAAATCAACAAAGAAGAAAATTATTTAGGAATTGTGAATATTATTGATTTATATTTTTAATTAGGAATTGCTTCCATACCGGTTATTGCATGAGTATTTCAGATTTCTATAACATCCTTGCTCTATTAAACTAGTTGTATAAAGGATGTAAACCATGTACGCAAGATTAAGTAAACTGAGTCCAAAAGTTAAAAAAATAAAAGTAACTGCTTAAATGCTATGATTCTTCTTAAATGTCGCTCTGACTTAAATTAAACCGACTTGGTTCAGAGAAATGAAAAAACAAGCGTTTTTAAAACAAACGTTAAAATAAACCCGATTTTATTTTTTTTTACTGATCAAATTCATTTTCCAAAAAACGTTTGTTTTTTCCTTAAACACCGATTTTTTTCGAAATTGTTTTTATCAACGATCTTTTTTTTTACTGAACAAACAGTTTTATTGTTTTTTTAACGATTGAAAAATACGAACGAAATTGGTCGTTCACAAACGATGAACGAACAAAAGGAAGAAAAGCCGAACAAGCCCATCTCATAATAAAGCTATAACTTAATAAAGCTACAACTTAAAACTTGCTTTTTTTGGACTAAGTTTTTTACAGATTATCAGAACTAAAATATTGAACTAATTAACCCCGGCAGAATTCCAAATCCCAAATAAATATTAAGTTTAATGTTAAACCAGGCAACCACTACAGTGTAATGTTTAGAATAACTTGTATTTTCTTTTTGTAAAGACCACAACAGTGAACACCCAGTAAGAGCAATTTATTTAATGGAATTTGGAAAAGAAATTATAAGATTTGAACAGAAAGAATAATATTTTCCTAAAACATGCTGAGATAGGATTGATTTTATTGATATGTTGAATACAGTTTTAAAGCTAATTTCTTTCTAATATAATTCCTTCCAAAAGCTAGAATTTCAGCGTTATTTTGAGGATTTTTTCACAATTTGTTTTGTTAGATTGGGATCCATCTACCTACTCAATACTAGGTTCAATGCGCTCTAATATAGATATGTATTCTACATTGTGGCATACAGCACTAGGGACATTCATTCAAATATTAGAAATTTATATGATTACCAGATTTAATTAAGTAGTTTTAATTAAACTATTCTTTCAAACAAACCTGAACTTTATTAATAAAATAACTAATTTTCCAATAGGGCTGTGCACGTTTCAACTTTTTCAAGCCATTATGTTAACGGTTAGTTCCAACGTTAGTTTTAGAGGATAAGAACAAAATTGATCGTTTCGATAACAGTATTTTTCGCTTTTTTAATTTACGGTTAGTTAATGTTCTCCATTTTATTAACAGGGTTAAGAATTTCAACACCCAATAACGGTTCCAGCCGTTAACGGTACCGTTTTTACACAATTATCGGCATTAACTGTGCGAAGTACCGAAAAAAAACTGTTCCGAACACAGAAGACAACATTTAAAAAATTTCAAAACATGCAATTTTAAGCAGAAAACAACGAAATTCACCCTTTATAAAAAAAATTGTTTGTTTTTCGTGTACAACGGTTAATTTTTTTTTTCATTTCCATTTCGTTAACCATTTAAAAAGGAACGCTTTTTCCCGTTCGTTAACAGAATCTTATGTTAATTTTCGAAAACCTCCGTTTTGCCCAGCCCTATTTTCCAATAAATTTTACACCAATTACCTATTGTTCAAACAAACTTTACTTCAATTACTTATTGTTCAAATAAACTTTGCCCCAATTGCTTATTTCCCAAATGAACTTTACTTCAATTGCTTATTTCCCAAATAAGCTTTACAGTTTACTCCAAATATATATTTTGAAAATAAACTTTACTCCAATTACCCAAGGAAGTTACATGCATTTGCCGCGGTTTATTTCAAGAAGAGAGAGATTAGTATATATTTTAGGGTTAGGTTAGGTTAAGACACTTTCCGGGCCAAGTGCTGCGGCTCGAACAGGGCTAGGTGGCCGAGCGCCGCGGCTAGAGCAGGGTCTCTTATCTCTGTCTTGTAATTCTCACGTCATGGGCACATAACTTCCTTTACCTCGACGATAGGTGCTGTAAAGGAAATGTGATAAAATACCTTTCGAGGGAAGTTGCTGAAACTAAGAAGTTTATTCTCAAGTTTATGAATGAATGATTCAGATTTCCATGAAAACTATGATAAATGGTATAGCGGACCTGCTAGGTAACATTTGTTCTAGTAAAGGAATTGAGTCTTTGCCACAAACTAAAATTTTCCTATCGTTATAACTTTGCAACCCAATGTCGTAGACCTTGGATATTTCAAACTATGAATTCTGGTAGATCAAATAATTTGAGTTTGAAATATCAAAGTTTTACACTATCCAGTTGCAGAGATTTTGGGTTTAACAAATCTGAGTTTGTGACAAGGGCGTATACATCCTTCCTCCCCTGGAGTTTTCCAACTCCTCCTTCTTGAACCCTTCCTCCCCTGAAGTTTTCCAACTCCTCCTTCATGAACCCTTCCTCCCCTGGATTTTTCCAACTCCTCCTTCTTGAACCCTTTCTCCCCTGAAGTTTCTCATCTCCTCCTTCTTGAACCCTTCCTCCCCTGGAGTTTTCCAACTACTCCTTCTTGAACCCTTCCTCCCCTGGAGTTTTCCAACTCCTCCTTCATGAACCCTTCCTCCCCTGGAGTTTTCCAACTCCTCCTTCATGAACCCTTCCTCCCCTGGAGTTTTCCAACTCCTCCTTCTTGAACCCTTCCTCCCCTGGAGTTTTCCAACTCCTCCTTCTTGAACCCTTTCTCCCCTGAAGTTTCTCATCTCCTCCTTCTTGAACCCTTCCCCTCCTGAAATTTCCTGGTTTTGCTTAATTTTCCAACAATTTCTATGTTCTATACAATGTATGAGAGAACTGGGAGCTGGGGACCAGATTTTCATCTTGTTTCACAACTTAACCAACAAGTTTTCATATAAATAATGTCGCCCTTATTTCCCAGTGGACTTGAAACCTGTTCTAGGAATAACTGCACCATAATATGCTGTGGAGGAGAGATCCTTGTACAATTTACAATTTCAAACTTTAAATAGAGAAAATTTAAAACCGGGGAAGGAAAGCAAAATACATAATTTTACTTTGATAATTCTACCTTTTTTATTAAGAATGATTTTAAGACAAAAATAATCTAAAAATCTTGCTGATTTTCAGTACCTATTCAGTTAAAAAAAATATTTTTGCTCCAATTATATAAAAAACCTGAACCCTCAAAACCAAAGACGGTAGAATAGTAGAATTTATCCGAGCCGGAATTTTTTCAAATTTACGGTATTATTCAAGACGTCCTAAATACGTCTCCGTACTCTATAGCGTTTTCCGCTAGATGTCTCCCGTTAGTTATCTTCGGACAGACAGACTTACTCACGTCATGTTTACTCACATAATTTCGCCGTGAGTTAACCTTTTTATAGATGTCAGGACCTGCACACAATAGCCCGATTTGTTTGTCGAGCTGTAACTTGCTTTGACTCTGACTATGATTTGAGATCATAGCTACAAGGTTAGATTTCAGATCATAGTCAAAGCTCATTCATAAGTCAACATTTTGAGGTTGGATTTAGTATGATTTCAGATCTAGTCAAAGTACAAGCAATTTGTTTTATGAATCCAATCTAAGCTGCTCTGACTATGATTTGATGACTGCTGGCCTTCCTAACTGACAGCAAAAAATTAAATTTAGTGAGCATTGATATTTTCTCGACCCCTTTAAAAGTCGTCTTTGATTTTTTGCCTTAAAATTGTAAAATGATTGATAAATTAGATAGATGGATAGACTAATAAAAACATGGATAGATAAATAGAGATAAAAGATGAAGAAAAAAAAAGAGAACAACAGAAATAAACTATAAAAGGAAATATCTGATAAAAAGGTTTATTTTTGTTTTAAAAAA